GTTGAATTCGATGTCAAGCCTTACCTCCCAACCATCTTCCAATACATCATCTCTCCCAGACTGGATAAGCTTGAAGTCGAAAACACTCAAGCACCTTCTGGTACTCTTGATCTTATTGCTACTCTTGCCGCCAAATCCGAAACGGCCATGAGCCTTACTGGTTTGGACCAGAGGACGCTGCCAAAGGCTTTCGCTTGTATGACAGCTGTCAAGGTCAAGCCTGCGGTGGTGCTGAAGGTATTCGACATTATCGACTCATTGCTGGTCGAAGATGACGAGGCTGCCTTGACCAAGGAGGTTCTTCTGCCCCATATCAGGGTACTCATCGACAATGTCATTGGTCTTGTGGCTTCCTTGAAGGCTTCACAGAACGATGATATCACTCGTCGACTGTTGACCATTCTTTCACACCTTTCAGCCATTGTCGAGGATGGACAACAAGCGCAGCAGCTCGCTACCCTTCTTGCGCCTATGCTCCGTAACCGACAAACCCACGAGAAGGCCAAGACCAACATCCTTGCCACTCTCGAACGGCTCTACGCCATCTGCCCCGACTTTACAGACACATCTAGCAAGTTCTTCTATCAGTCATACGATGTTATCTCCAGTCTGTTCCAGACTCTCTTCTTCTCTTCGTCGCGCCGAGCCCTGGTCAAGACATTCGAGACCTTTGCGGCCGTCGACCCGTCTCTTGCCAAATCTGTCAAGCTCGTAGCAGACTTGAACTCTTATTCTGCTAAGAGGGTCGAGGAGCCCGACTTTGACAGACGTCTGTCTGCATTCGAGGCAATCAATGACGGACCGGAAGAGGAGCTTCCTCAAGACGTCCGAGCTTGGACCCCTATATTGAGGTCATGCTTGTTCTTTTTGCACGAGCCCGAGGAGCTGTCTATCAGGACGAGTGCTTCAGCTGTACTGCAGAGATTCATCGCTGTAGTCGGCAGTTCCTCCGACGGCGCCTATGTCAACGCTCTGCAAAACATCATTCTGCCGGGCCTCAAGAGAGCCCTCAAATCCAAGATTGAGCTGGTCAGAGGGGAGGCTTTGTTGGTGATCGCTCAAGGTGTCAAGTTGTGCGATGGCGTGCCAGAGTTGAAACAGATGAAGCCTCTCTTGGCTGAGGGCGATGACGAAGCGTCCTTCTTCACCAACATTAGTCACATCCAGGTTCATCGACGCGCCCGTGCTCTTGTCCGATTGCGAAGCATCATCGCTGAGCCAACCACCTCTATCCAAGAAAACACCTACACCTCGATCTTCTTGCCCTTGCTTGAACACATCATCGCCGGTGCCACCGACATTACGGATCACCACCTTATCAACGAGGCAATTCAAACCGTTGGTGGGTTGGCGCAGGAATTGAGGTGGAATAAATGGTACTCGTTAATCCAGAGGTACATGAAGCTCGGCTTGGGAAGTGGAAAGACTGCGCAACAAAAGTACTACGTCAGGAGTGTGGCAGCCGTCATTGATGGCTTCCACTTTGATTTGGGAACTGGAGATGCCATGGACATTGACGAGAAGGAAGGGGATGACGAAGAAGGCGATGATGATGAGGATGAGGTCGTGAAGAAGGATGATGGAGCCAGCCCCGAGAAGATCATGGGTATCATCTTGAACAAGCTCCTTCCTTCTCTCACCAAGTTTGTTGCCGACAAAGACGATGCTGAAAGCACCATCCGAGTGCCTCTGGCTCTTGGTGTTGTCAAGATCGCCCACACTCTGCCCGGACCTTCCGCTGAAACCGAAGTCCTCCGTGCTATCACCACTGTTGCTCAGATTCTCCGAAGCCGAGACCAAGACACCCGTGACATCACCCGAGAGACGATCTGCAAAATCGCCATCTACCTCGGCCCCGGATGGCTGGTCAAGCTTATCAAGGAGTTGGAAGTCGCTCTTCCTCGAGGGCCCCAGAAGCATATCCTTGCTGTGACAACCCACGCTATCCTGGTCCAAGCCACTACTCAGGCGTCCGATAGGTTTGCCAACCTCGACGATGCTGTTCAGTTGGCTGTGCAGATCGCTGCTGAGGTTGTCTGGGGTGAATCCGGAAAGGACGTTGACAGCGAAGGCTTCAAGACCAAGATGAGGGAAGTCAGGGGTGCCACCTCGCGAGGTTTCGACACTTTCCAGCTTCTTTCCCAACTCGTGTCGCCAAGCAAGATTGGTGCCGTCCTGGTGCCGATTCAGGACGTCATGCACGCCTCGCAGGCCGTCAAGGCTATGCAGCAGCTGGACGAAGCCCTTCGACGCATCTCCTTGGGTCTGAATGCCAACAGCCTTCTGTCGCCCCAAGATATCCTGTCGCTTTGTCACTCTCTCATCAGTGGCAACTCGTCGCATCTCAAGGCCAAGCGCAAGGCTGCTCGACCTGCCGATACACCTGAAGCTTTCAAGGTCGTGATGAAGCGAGACGTCAAGGCTGAAGAGGACTTTTACCCTGCCAACGCGCACAAGCTTGTCATGTTTGGTCTTGACTTGTTTGTCACTGCTTTCAGACGGGGCAAGTTTGCCTTTGACGATGTTGACATTCTCTCTCGTCTTGGCCCCATGGTCAACGCTATTGGTAACACCCTTTACTCCAGCACATCCAATGTGTTGCTCCTCTCCCTCAAGGCAACCGCCGCTATCGCTCGATGCCCTATACCTCAGGTAGAAGGCGCCTTGCATGTCTACATCAACAATATCTTCAAGATCATCAAGCATGCGGGAGGCACTGCCGAGACGGAGGTGGCTCAAACGGCTTTGAAGACATTGTCTGTCATCTTGAGGGACTGCAAGACTTCTGAGGTATCTGAAACTCAACTCAAGTACCTCATTGAAGTCATCAGTCCAGACCTGGAGGAGTCGGACAGGCAGTCTGCCATCTTTACTGTCCTTCGTGCCATCATCACTCGCAAGTTTGTCGTCCCCGAGATCTACGACTTGATGGAGCGAGTGTCTTCCATCATGGTCACTTCTCAGTCCACACATGTCCAGGAGCTGTGTCGAGGTTCCGTCATGGCTTTCCTCCTCGACTATCCTCAAGGCAAGGGTCGTCTCAAGTCTCAGATGACCTTTTTCGCGCAAAACTTGCAATACACTTACGATGCAGGTCGTCTTTCCGTCATGGAAGTCCTCTCTGCCGTATTTGAAAAGTTCTCTGACGACCTTATTGAAGAGTACGCTGGCATGTTCTTTGTCGCCTTGGTGGTCACCCGTGCCAACGACGATTCCGAAAAATGCCGAGTGGCCGCCGGAGAATTGTTGAAGGTCCTCTGGAGACGCTTGGACGAGGACGCAAGAGGCAAGATGGCCGAAGTCGTCAAAAGCTGGATCGCTCAGCACGACGAGAATGAGACCCTTGCTGGAGCTGCCATGGGTGTCCTCGGCTTGCTTGTTGAAACTGGCGGAGAAGGGCTTGGAGACGTGGCGAGCGTCGTCAATCCAGTCTTGAAGGAAAGCGCCGCTACCCTCCAAGAAGCCGAGGAGCAAGACGAAGCCGTTGAACTCGACTACACCCTCCCTCACCACACCCTCGCCACAACGGCCAAGCTTGTTCTCGCCAACCCCTCTGCTTCGTCGTCTCTCCCTTGGACCGATATCGTCCCTCATCTCCTCTTCCCCCACGACTATGTCCGATACGACACTGCCAAACTCATTTCCAACCTCTTTGCCAATGATGCGGATCCCGCCGTCGTCTGCGAGATGCTAGGCAATGAGCTGTGTCTTGACATTGCTAGGAAGGGGTGTCTTGTGTTGAAGGGCAATAGGAATGAGAACGGAGAGTGGATGGTCGGAAGCGGCAAGTTGGCGGATGAAGTTGTCAAGTGTCTGTACAACATCTCCAAGTACTGGGCTGTGAGTATATCCATTCTAGTCTGATTTCTTTCTGCTGACACTGTGTACAGGCTACCGAGCAACCGCTTGCTGCCAAGGACGTGGAAGAAGGCGCCGACGAGGAAGAAGACCGCGATGAAGAAGAACACGTAAAGAAGCCTCTGGCTTGGCTCATGTCTCGAATGTCGTTCGTCGCTCGACACTTGATCGTCAACAGACCAGCTCCCCACAGCTTCCAAGCTCAGGTATGTTTTCGCCATCATCACTACAGAAGCATGAAACTTACGCGGCAAACAGGAACAATGGTCCGCGCCGATCTTGTCCATCTTGCGATTCTTTGCGGGTGTGACCGAGTGTTTGAGCAAGGCGCAAGCTATCGGATTCTTGGTGCACGTCTTGAGTCCGGTGTATAGGATCTTGGACGAGGGCGGTGATCTTGGGCAAGTCGAGGACAAGCAAGTCGGTAAGTATCCCGTTTACAAATCCCACGCTACTCCCTACTGACGGCACGTTAGACGACCTGCGCGAACTCGCGACCCAAGTACGTGAATTCGTCACGACCAAATCAGGCATCAGCGCCTTCTCCAAAGCCTGGGAGAAACTGCGCCAGACTGTCACTGCCAAGCGACAAGAACGTCGCGAGGGCCGAGTCAAGCTGGCGTTTACTAACCCGGAGCTGCATGCGGAGAAGAGGGAGAAGAAGGTGGAGAGGCAGAAGGAGGGGAAGAAGAGAAAGATTAGGGCTTTTGCGTGAGTCCTCACCAGAGTATCAGAGGAAGTGTGACTGACAATCGATATAGGGAGGGAAGAAAAGTGCCCGGCGTCAAGAAGAGGAAGCAATAGCCTGTGGAGTGGTCTTGTAGAATAAATATAAAATGATACCCAGCACTAGATATCTTGTACAATCCCTTTTCTCACTTTTTGGTTTAGAGACTATAGACCAGTCATGCATCTCTCGGTCTATAGGAGGAAAAGTACGGACGTCAAGTATTAGGCTACAATAATAGATCCAGCTATCAAAAAACATGGATACTACGGGGGCGTAACGGTCGTGATATGTCGGAACGGAAAAGGAAAACAAGGCGGAAGAAAAAGGGGAACACGGAAGAGCGAAATAGCTATACAGAGAGCCAACCGTCAGCACTTGTCAGGGTGCCTCGGGTCAGTGGTTCGCAATAAGATCAACGAGGGCCCTCGTGAGCGTGGTAAGAGCGCCTAAGGTGGCGAAACTTCTTCAGCGAGAGCAGGGCGAGAACCTCTGTGGCAAAAAGATAACAATTCAGCACCTATTCCCCAATAACGACGAGAGAACGCACCCTTCTTGATGTGCTCGCCGAGTTCAAGCTGCTTCTTGAGTGCCTCAGGATCAGTGACCTTGGAGTTCTCTACAATGACGAAAAACCAGTGGTCAGCTTCTTATCTGCGCGTGGAGCTTGGCAAGAGATAAGAAGTGGGGGAGCAGAGTGGGGGATGTGGGACGTACTTTCAAAAGCTCGTCGGAGGCGCTTGTTGAATTCATAGTTGGGGTCAGGGCTGGAGCACCTTCAGTAAAAAATTGCAAATGGAGCAGGGGAAAGCTCACTAGTCACGTCCGAGACGGTGCAGCTAGAACGCGTCCATCAGCAATCCACCCACATGGTTTTTCATATGTTAAACATCCCAACTCACCTCTTTATAAAGCTTGATCGCCTGGAGCCGCAGAGGGAGCTCATCGACCGGCTGGGCGGCTTGCTCGAGGACAGAAGCATACCCTCGGCGGGTCTGCTGTCGGAGTCCAGCCGTGAGAGGACGGAGGAAAGGCGCGGCGATCATTGTTTTCTTTGTCTATAACTGGGAGTGGTCGAGGGATGGCCTGTAGGGGTATACAGATGTAGTATATACAGTTCTGCGAGGGATATACCACTTGAAAGATAATCTGATAAGAGAACAACAATAACAATGGTCTGCGTGAATTCGATTCAGATTCCTGCGTCATTGAAATTTGCCGAAGTCGGGCCGGGAGACGGCGCTCGCCGCCAGCGCTCGGAGTTCGCCGTGCTATGTTTTTGTTGGATTGCCACTTTCGCGCCTTGCTTGCTCATCCAAAAAAACAGTCTCTCTCTGTCTCTCTCTCTCTCTACTGCACCTATAGTATCTCTCATAATGGTCTCGTTCCTCAGCAAGTGAGTGGAAACAGTGTACAGCTCGGACGATGCTCACCCAGTTACCCCCGATCAGCTCCGAATCCCCCGCCCAGGCTGCTTCTCAGTCAACCCCCGTCTCCCCCGTCGCTCAGGAAGTCAACCCCCTCAACCCCAAGGGTCTCAAGCCGTAAGTCTATTAGATCTATGATCAAGGAGAATCAAGGAGAAGTTTCCATACATTGAGCGAATCGACACCCAAGTGGAGGCAGACCGAAGGGCAGACGAATCACGAAATGCTAACAATCCCAACCAGCTGTTGCGCTTGCCCCGAAACAAAATCCGCCCGAGACGACTGTTTCCTCAAGTCTGCTCCCGGAGAAGGAGATATCGCGTGCAAGGACCTGATTGAGGCGCACAAGGCTTGCATGAGGGGTTACGGTTTCAAGGTCTAGACGTGGTATACGTCTAGATCTGTGGAGGACGATAGAGGGATGGAAGAGCATGTGGACAGTATTTTTGGTTTTTCTTCATGGTTGTACATATGCATCATACACACTACTCGCTGAATAACCCAGAAACCTCGAATCTAGAATCACATCCTTCAAGCTTGTTTCGACCTTACCCGAACTTTGGCGACGTCCCACCCCCCGCCTCTATGCACTTTCCACCTCCAAGCATACCACAACATCGCCGGTCCCACCATATTCACCAAAAACAACACTAGGAGAAAGATGAGAGCTGGGAGGGACGCGAGGGCGCGGTGTACAGGCGAGGATTGGGGAAATGGTGTCGGGGCGGAGGGGATGAGGGATAGGGCGAGGGTCGTTGTTGAGAGAGTGAGGACTAGAGAATAGCCTTTGCCTGCTTCCTGATATGGACGTCAGTGGCTGTGATACTAGAGAGGACGTTACGTACCCTCACGCTTTTGGCGACGACTGGCCAGCCGGCAAAGAACAGGACCGAAAGCAAGATCAAAGAAAAGACATGGGCGTTCGAAGGTAGTCTTGAAGCTAGTACGACAGACGCCGAGAGCGCCGAGGTCAGCGACAAGGACGAAGTCAGGCTACTCTCAAATCAGCATATACTTCTGAACACTTTCTGGCGAACCACAAACCTCTTCTCCTCCCCAATCTCCTTCCACCCCACACTTCCCCTCCTCTTCCTATTCCTCTCCCTCCTCCTAACAATTCGCACATCCTCCCCCGTCCTAAAATCCGATAAAAGCAAGTGCACAAAGCCCAGCCCCGCGGCGAGGGGCCAGATGGAATCTGATGTGGTTGCCGAGGTGAGTGTGCCGAGGACTGGGGAGAGGAGGGCGAGGAGGAGTGGGGGGAGGATGAGTGTGCGGATGGGTGTTGGTGGTGGTATCAGAGAGTCTATCATCTAGTCAGTATGTACACACACTTGTGCAAGGGAGCAATGCCATACCTTGTATTTCCCGAGGCTTCCACCGTCCCCACCCTCTCTGCCATACACCCCACCCCACCAACCCTCCCAGAAAACATCCCCATCCGACAGATTCCGGCGTCAACCTCCCATCCAAAAGGGCTGATAGGATCGCAAGAAAGATGGCGATTGTCGAGATATGCTGGGTTATGGGTAGTGCCGCAAAGAGGAGCGCTGGAAAGGTCGGTCTCGGACGTGGCACTTTTATTCTACATCAGCTCTTGTCCCCTCCTCCAAAGTGAGAATCACTCGCCTATATCATCGAGTTCCGCAAGGAAATCAGGCGGGACATAGTTGTCCGCATACGGCTGCTTCCTCCATAGGATCTTTTCCCACTTTGGCAGGCCGGGGTCAGGCTGGGTCCGGGCGGGGATAGAGATGGGCGGGGCGAGGGCAGGAGGTGCCATGTCATTGTATCACCAGTCGCAGCCCCTCTGTGTCGTCCTGGGGATGGAGATGCCACGAGGAGAGGAAACCAAACAATGCGATGGATGCCAGCGCGTCGAGAGTTGAAAGTGGAGGTCGCTCTCCCGAACGGCGCTCCGTGAACCCGTAAATGTCTTGCATCTGCCATCGTGGAATACTATGCATTGCATCTCTTCTGTCCATAGATCAAGGTATCCATCATGTCTTCTCAAAAGTTCACCCAGTACCTCCTCGAGAAATACGTAAGTCAACAAACGACAGCCCATGCACACTTGCTCACCATACTATCAATCGTGTCCCAGGCCGCAGACTTTCAAAAAGCGACCAACCATCCCTTCTTGGAACAGTCTGGTAATGGTTCCATCGATATTAAACCTTTGAGGTCTTGGTTGAAGCAGGATTACTTGTACGCCTATGTTGGGTATCCCAAGGTGCGTCCAGCCATGTCCCCTGCCATCCACTCGCCATGAGTACGTACAACCAACACCATGTGGCTAGTTTGCATCCGCCCTTCTCTCCAAGCTCCACTTCCCCACCCCCCTCTTCTCTCACCCAACCCCAAACCTCTCCAAAGCCTTCTCCGTCCTCTCCTTCTCCCTCGCCAACGCCAAACGCGAAACCCAATTCTTCGTCGACACTGCGAAACAGCACGGGCTCGATGTCTTTTCGCAGGAAGCGAATGATGGTGCTGAAGACGGTGGTAAGGGGTTGTTGGGCGAGTATAATGAGGTGACGAGGGCGTATGTGGACTTTTTGCAAGCGACGGGGGCTTTAGGGAGTGTTGAAGAGGGGTTTGTGGTCATTTGGACTATGGAAATTGTGAGTAGACAATGATCATCAAGGAGTGTCGAGCTGAGTGAGATTAGGCCTACTTGACAGCATGGCAATACGCCAAGACGTACCACAAAGAGCTCGCTGCCGCCGATCCCGCAAGCCTCACGCAGACCCAACAGGCGCTCGTCAAGTTCGTCGATAATTGGACGTGTGACGAGTTTGTAGAGTTTGTGGAGGGGTGTGCCGAGATTGTCGATGGGGCTGGGATCGAGATCGGGAGCCCGTTGGCTGAGAGGTGTGAAGAGGTGAGTAACGAATTCGATGGATGAGGCTGACTTTTGTCAAGGTGTTTAAGAGGTGCATCTGGTTGGAGCAGCGCTTTTGGCCTCAGCTATAAGCAGTCTGCTGGTTAGCTTCAAATGTTATCATAACCGTGGTAGCCAGTGTAGCCACATTGAAAAACGTCACAATGCTATGCATTATCGTGGTATGCGGACAAGATGCGATGCGTCTCAACATGATGACCCTGAAAAAGCTGGTATATTATAATCGAGGGGACGATAAGAGTATGACAATCGACAACGGTTGGGATGGACGATGGACACCCAAAAAGAAGGTCGGTACCGACAAAGGGGGTTGGTGGTGGGTGGGGTATAGGTACAAGGAGACCGAGAAGGCCGGGTGATTGCACGGGAACGGAGGCCGGACGGTGTATTTAAAAGTTTTCGTCAATCTTGGGCTTGTTTTCTTTGGACGCAGGGCTGGCCTGGCTGGCTAGTTGGCTCAGCTGGCTTGCAAGGTGCACGGGTCGACCCCTATGATATCACGCGTCAACATCTATGCTGGAGACGAAGCATGTCGACCTACTTTTGGAAGTGCCTTTGCTTAGAGTTGTTGAGCTTGGCAGAGATGGGAGAGAGGACGTCAGAAGGAGAGACAGTGTTGCTGCAAAAACAAGTCAGCACGAGGCCATCAACACCGCACTTTCAGAAACGATGTAAACAAGCCAAACATACGAAGGCTTGACACCACCACGGGCGGCGGCACCGAGGAGACCCTTCTTCTGCAGGAAGCTAGGCTGGGCGGTCTGGGCGGGGACGGTGTTTTGAGCTGTGGGGATTGTCGAGGGCGGGTGTGGAAAGTGAGCAGGGGTAGGGCCAATAGGTCAGCTTGTTTGTTTGCCACTGGATGGCAGAGATGGGACTGACCGTTGGACTGCTGGAGAGGGGCGGACATGTTGGCGACTTACTGGCTGGCGGTGGGCGGGGTGACGAAAGGGCGGGAGTGAGTGTTGTTGTTGATCTTGTTGTGAAAAATCAAACAGAAAGAAAGGCGCGCTTTTTACCGAACACCACTCACTTACGTAAATAGAGGGTGGGGATGGCCGCTCGCCCGCCACGAGTGGAGGCAGGATGACGGTCTCCAGCTTGTCTCTGCTCCATCTCATCTTTTCACAGCAGCATGTCGGACGCCCAGCTCACAGGAGACAGAATCAACGAGGAGCGCGCCTTCATCAAACGCTACACTGAGGGACTCGCATCCCGTAAAGTCGAGTACCCCGCCGACTATGCCACTCCTCTTGACGAGCGTCCGAGAAAGATACCGGCTGTCGCAGTCCCTGTCGCTGCCCCGCCTGTGAGCGAGGACATGGACGTTGATGCTCCTGCACCAGGTAAGTCTGAATAGGCGGCACTACAAAGTCTTCATTTGACTGATATTTTGCAGACACGAGCATCAGTCTGACCATCAAGTCTCTCAAACCGTCTCTCACCATCCCCGTCACCGCCCAATTGACAGATACTGTCGCCGACCTGAAAGCCATCGTCGCCAACTCCTCCTCTTCTGCACCTGCTGCCGACTCCCAACGGTTGCTCCTCAAGGGCAAAGCTTTGGCGGACAGCAAGCTCCTCAAAGAGTACGCTATCGAGTCTGGTGCGACCCTGCACCTCATGATCAGTAAAGCCCCCTCCACCCCTTCCCCCGCTCCCCCACTCTCCTCCTCGGAAGCTACCATCCCCCCACCTTCCGCCACTGCCCCCAACCCCCCATCGCTCACCATCACCACCTCCATCGACGACGCTTCCAAAGCAGGTACCTCCATGCCTCTCACCGTCGCCGACCAGTCTGCGGCGCCACTCGGTCCCCAGCCCGAAGTGTCATCTGCCACTTTTCATACGACAGTGTCTGAGCCCCTGTTCTGGCAGCGGGTGCATGCACTTTGTATTAGCGATTTCGAGACGGAGCAGGAGGCGAATTTGGCGTGGGAGACAATGTTTGTGAGCTTGAAGGGGAGGCTGAGTGCGAGCGAGGTGGCAAAGATCAGAGATGTGGTGGGTGTTCTGGGGATGAATGGGCGATAAAGGGACGGAAGATTGTATTTGTAAGGTTGGCATATTTTTGAACGTATTGACATGCATCTGTGAATAGTTTAAAAATCATACTGGAAACATACATGCAACAATCGATCACACAAGATATTATGAAAGGTCAACTAGAAGAATCGAGGCTTCTCTCGGCCACTCGCAGCTTTCACACAACTCTTCGCTTTCCCAGCAATATACTCTTCCCAACACGCCTTGACATGCCCGCCCCCAAGCCGTCGCCCACCAGCGCGTTTCAACGAACTAAACAAACTCCCGTCATTTTCCTCGGCCGTACTCGCTTTTGCGGCGGGCGTGTTGATACCCGACTCTGGCAAAGAGCTGGTTTCGATCAAAGGCGGCAGTACCTCCAACCCTCGCTCATAGCGATGTCTGCTTCCACCAGCTTGCCACATTTCAAGGCCCTGCTTGAGCTCCAGCCACAGTCTGTCTTCTGCCCTTTCACCGTCTGACGCGGGAGTTTGGACCATGATACTAGAGTCGATGGAGGAGGTGCTTGATACCTTATCTCGGGCTTTTAGCCTCGTGTCGGGCTTCGTCTATCGGTCAGAGCTTACAGTGTAGGTGAGGGCCGGCATGCCCTCATTGGTGGCAGGCGTATTCGCCACTATCAACTTGGCTCGCGTACTACGCAAAAACGATACCAGCGCTTGGTGTCGCTTGAGTCATATTCATCAGTCCGACTCTCTCAAGTAGCCAGAACATTGCTCACCAATAAGACTTTCTGCCTCACTCCAATCTTCTTCCCCTCGACAGACTCGGTCGATGTAGTATCATCGCCTGCAAACTCGAGCCACATCTCGTCCGCCCCATCCTTGACGATGAAATCGTGCGGGCTGGCAGACGAGGAGATCGGCGGGGAAGCTTGATGCATGGTGAACCTCCTGGGGTGACGGGTCGGTTTCTTTGGGTGGTGCAAGGGGGTGTGATGAGGGTGGAGATCATTCGTGGTATCGTATCTGCGTGGGAACGCATCAACATGATTAATGGTTTTGACGAGATAAGCAAGTACTACCTTTTCTTTGATTCTTTTGCACCTTTTTGTTTGATATAAAATGGCTCAAGGTACAGAAAGAACGGAGAAGGTGGTTTGATGACAATGGAGTTGACTTAAGTAGCCACACGGGTCGGAACGGCATGCAGGTTCGCGCACGAGAGACCAACGCTGCATGGGGAAAAATAGTGATGCCTTGCGTCCTTTTAGCCCCCCAAAGCTGCATCATCAGACCGCTTTAGGCTATAGAAAGGACCCCCGTTCTTCGGACTACGACGGAGGGGAGGCCGGGGGAGTCACAAGATCAGATCGCTCTCCATGCTTCATAGACCTGCCGTACCGCGGTGGCCGATCAGACTGCATGTATACGCCGCCTGTATGTTGCGTGATGCCTCGTGGACCGCGGTTCAGTATGGTGCTCCTCAAACGCCCCGCTCGTTCGTTCCTTTTCGGGCCGGCGGTACCCCACTGGGGGCTTCGGGGGCTCCTGAGAACCATCAAAACGCCTCCACTGATAGCGCCTTCGCCGGCGGCAGCAGAAGTTGAAATCACTCGCCCTCGAGTCTAGATAGCTGTGAAATGTGTTCTGGAATCACGATCGCAATCACGGTCAGCGCGGCCAGAACCTTTTGCGTCTGCACAGCAGCGTGTCTATGATTCGATTCATGTCCGTTCGGTTATACATATACTATGAGAGGGAATCCACAAGGCAAAGGCATAACCACAGTTGATAGACAACCATAGAGGAAGGGAAAAGATAGGCCTTCAAAAAGGACCGAAAAGATCGAAGAGAAGATATCATGTATCTGTAGTAAGCTCGGCGTTGCGTCGTAACAAAATTGTTTTAGAACTCGTGAAAAATCGGAGCCAAAAGGTCCATCATAACGTATAGAACAGATTAATATTGCGGTGGCGCCTGCATGTCTAGTCAGCAATGTTCTCATCATATCTCAAAATCAACTCACAGCACCAGGGGGGAGGACGGAACTGTGCCCACCCGACGAAATGGGACTGACAAGCTGGTTCTTTGACGAACTACGCCTGTTGTGCCGAGAGACGCGACGGACAGCATCGTTATTCCCAGCAGTTCTTACGGGTCCCGTATCCACCAACGATACTCCTCTTTGCGATTGTGATGGCTGCAACCCTGTCCTATAAACAGGCTCAGGAGGAGAGGCAGGAAGGTAGTCGTTGTTGAGAATGGGCTGCTCAGCCTCGTCGGGGTATCCTTCGTTCACATAAGACTGATACGAGTAAGGGTCTGCGTGGCTAGAGCTTGATGGGTCGGATCCTTGTCCAAGGGCATTGGACGTTCCGGACTCGGTGGACGAAGGTGAGTGCTCACGGCCAGGAGCGCCTCGAGCAGGTGGAAGAGCGAGCTGGGAAACCTCGCCGTAATTGTGTTCCGGACTAGGAGCAGCTTGGCTCATCGAAGCAAAGCTCTGGCTTTGTCGGAAAAGTGGGTTGCTCTCCTGAGTGCCAAATCCGCTATTGTACGTCTCGCTGGTAGACACAAGAGAATAACGATTAGAAGGCAAGGCGGCACTGGCAAGTAAGTCAGTGTGTATCGATCAGAACAGAATTCTACTCACTTGCGTGGAGAGTTGGCTCTTTGCACAACATCATAGTACTGAGAGTCCCTCTCGAGTGTCCCGTTCCTCCACCTTCGCTCCTTTTCAAACTCGGCCCATCGCTTCATGACAATGTGACTCGAGTCGAAAGTACCTTCCTTGGCACCATGATCGGCCTCCTTCTGGCCTTCACCGAGCTCGAGCTTACGAGTCTCACCCCAGGAGAAGTCGTCCATGTGCCAGTAAGAGTATCCGGGGAGGATCAAATTCCAAACGGGGAGCGAGAGCAAGTACAGCAACATCCATCCGACATAGGCGACCTTTCTGGAGGTGATAACAATTAACACACCCGGCAGACCAAGGATAAAGGCCAGCAGAATGAGGGAGATGGTAGGCCTGGGGATACCGGTGACAGATTGAGGGATGATCGAGACGACGATGATATACAGGGTGAAACTGATGGCGGCGGGAAGAACGAGGGTTCCGACCAAGTCCATAAAGACGACAAACTGCATTGAGAAGCAGAAGGTACCACACAGATCTCGGACAAGCGCGAGCTCGAACAGATTGTGGACTGTGGAGTTGATCCATCGTCGACGCTGAGACAAGAGGATTCGGAAAGTATCGGGGACGATAGTCTTGCAGACCGCTTGGGGACAGAACATCATCTTTCGCTTGGGGAAGGTCTTGAGCATCAGGGTAGAGAGATATCGATCTTCACCCAAAAGCAACAAGTTCTTCTTGTGAAGAGTGTCGACGACGTTCTCGGAGTAGTGTTCACAGATGTCGGGGTTGGCAAGAATAGGTACCCAGAAACCACGGTCGCCCTTGGGCGCCTTGATTCGGTACATTGAGAAACAACCGGGGAGACATGTGACACCACCAAAGACGGACTCGAAGGCCTTGGTAAGATGGTGAGAGATGTAATATTCAAAGACTAGATATTGTCAGCGTAATCCTCAGAAAGCAAATGGTGACTCACCTTGAATCATGGTAACCCAAGTCTCAGACTTGTTGGCAATCTTGGTTTCACCGCAAAGTCCCATAATCTCAGTGTCGTTGACCATACAAGCGTTCATCCTCGTCAATGAATCCGGGAAGACCTTTGTATCGGCATCGACACAGAGGACAGTCTCATACCTGTCCGGCGAGACACCCGTACATCGCCAGAGAGAGTTGAAGAATTCGTATTCAAACGTCGTCATACGCTCATCAAACATGACCTTTTGGAGGAAACTCATGAGAACGATTTGTGAATCACGCTTTCCTCGGTTACCGGGTTTGGCATCATTGGCCTCGAGAGGGTTACCAGTCTTGGCGACGAGGACCATGGGTACTCGCTGCTGTTTGGAGGTTTCAACGGTGCTCGAGTCGTAGTCGTAGAAGCCAGCGTAGACCTTGGCCATGTTGTGACGCTTGTGACCATCGGCGATAGCGACATACGAATGCGCCTCAACCTCCTCGGGAGGAATGATAAACTCCTTCATCATACCCAAGACGATGTCCGGAGTGTATTGCTTTGAACCCGAACCTCGCACCATACCATCACAGATGACAAGAAGCACCTTGTGAGAGTTGGGATAGTCGGTGGTGGCCAGAGAGTCAATAGTGGTACGAAGACCGTCAATGGATTCAGAGTAGGCAGTGACGAGGAGGATCGAGTGAACGAGGGGGTAGTTGAAGGGCTCAAAGTCGGCGGCAGGCTGGGGGACCACATTGCCCAGAGGGAAGGGGCAAGGGCTCTGGTTGCCGAACGAATCTCCAGACAACGACATGTGAGAATCGTCCCTGAAGGGCAAAGATGTCGAGCTTCGAGAATTTCGCAAGAGGGGAGAACCAGGGGGTGTCGTGTGGAGGGTGGGCGGGCCGAGTTTGTTGCCGTAGACGCTGGAAGTTTGCCTTCCCCTCTCACCAAGCATGCCGTATGCGGTTGATGGTCGCGAGTTTGAAGAGACGTGCAATTGCGCGGCAGTACTGTATCGGGAGGTGGTAGGCAGGAAAGGCTTCTTGAGGCCACCAGCCTTTGCACCGTTGCCTGTGGTCGCATTGGGACGCAGGTAGCCAGGGGCAGGTCGATAAATGTCGTCTGTCCATTGCTCAATTTCCGCCGCTCGCTTCATTCTCTCCTGGTAACTTTCGCCAGTAAAGTTGCCCAATCGCCAACTCAGGAACCAGCCAAAGACGACAGCCATACCAAACTTGATCAAGACGGCACCCAGAATGAAGACGAGCGACACGTAGAGAACAATGTCGGACGCAACACAACCGATGGATATACTGTCAACAAAGCCGACTTGAACAACGTCCGTGAGGCATTGGCCAATGGTGGTCATACCGGCTCTCTCGATGAGGGCGGTGATATCTTTGCCGGCATACGAGCTGTTTCTGGTCTTGATTGTGTCGAAAAAGGCAGGGTAGCTGACTTCACTGTCGTCGAGCCACTGCAAAAGACTCAAGTCGAGGACAGCGCTGTGGATGTGTTAGCAATGTATTTCAAAAGATACCATTACTTACGACTTGTAGACAGCAAGGTTACGATCCTCGCTCTTGACACTGTCCCAAGTGTAGTAGATTTCGGCAGTAGGCACGATGGCATTGAAGTCGTCTCGGGCGGTAGACGATGTGTGACACTGGTAGCTGCTCGTATAGCCAGTCAAGTTGACAGCAGAGGTGCCATTCTGGTCATGCAGGTTGCAAGGAAAGTACCATCCCATGGAAGAACCAGAGTAGTCGATCCCAGTATCGGACGCGGGGGTAATGATATTGAGACAGTGCTCGTTGACGTTTTGGAACATGAAACTGGCGTCCATTCCACCAGCCATATATTCGTCCATATAGAGCGGACTGGTAGAACCATTAAAGAGGGAGCCAGCTTCAGGGTGCGACCAGGTGGAGAAGTCGTAATCGTAACCGTTGATGACAAGAGAACCTGAACTGGCCTGGCCTCCCACAATTCGGAGATCGGTGTCACCACAGACAGTCTGGGTGAAACCGAAGGTGATATAACCAACAAAGGTCATGAGGTAGGCCACAATACTGACGATACCCATCTTTTCTCTCCAGGCGCGTTGGGCATCTGGAGTCTTTTTGCCAAAGATGCCGCGGATGACAAAGCCGGGAATGCAGATGGTGATGAGGTAGCAGTAGGTCATCCAGCAATCTTTAGGACCGGGGGCAAAATCTCCCAAACAAGCACAGCAACCGACATCGGCTTCGTCGGGCTTGGTGGCACCAGCGCCCGCGCGGTTGGATTGCGCGCCGCTGGGTGGCGCTTGCCGGGGTGCAGCTCGTGACGCCTTTCGACGAATGGTGGCACCACGTTTGAAAAGATTGAGACCCGAGCTATCGTCAATGTCTTCTGTTTCACGGGCGAGCAGGGATTTGCCTCGTCGGAGATTGGCACCGCCGTTGTTCCGCAGATGGTACGGTTGGTTACCAGTAGCTGCGCGATGTCAGCGCGCCAGAACGAGAGACGTGCTGCCTGTGCTTACAACTGGGCTGGATGTCGACCTGGTCCTCTGCTGCATGCTCCCGGTAATGCCACAAGCGGTGATTGGGATCAATCCTCTCTCTTTCCGGCCTGACCATGCTCTTCTTCCTCCTTATATCGCCTGCGGCTGAGAAGCCGGGGTTGGATGCTCCTGCTTCCATGTATCCTCCTTCATCGTACCCCAGCGCAGGGTTGGCGTACCCGCCAGTACCGACAGACTGGACGGTATCGGTCGTGTGAAGAGAGTTTTTGGAATTGTCAGTCTTTGCCGGCGGACGGGGAGGGACATCGTCACGCCCCGCGCGGCGAGAGGGCGGTACAGCGTCTTGAAAAGACACCTGACCTTGGAGATGTGGGCGGGACATGATGTCGTTGCCCTTCGGGTGAGGTTGTGATTATGGTTGAGAGTTGAAAGGGGAGAGGGTGTTTGTGCTTCGGCCTTCGGTGGCTGTTGTTAATGTCAGCTAAGCGGGACAAACAAAGGATGGGGGGAGGCGTGGTGGCGATGAGGTGGGGGAAGGGGAAGGAAGGAATTGCGAGCTGTGCGGTGGGAAGGGGGGGAGGAGGGGTGCCGAGAGACGACGAGAATAGCAGGGCAAAGGCCGAGGACGAAAAAAGAGCGAGGCTTACTTTACTACAATGAGGGTGACAATGGGCACGGCGCACGTGGCGAGCTGGGAAGAGGGGGAAACGCGAGGAGGGAGGGGGAGGAGGCAGGGGATCGAGGGGAGGGGAGGGGCGGAGAAGAGGGGAGGATGTTGAAGTCGAGAGAGAAAAAGAGTTGTGAATTTGCGGTCGCGCACTCGCGGGAGAAAAGAGAATTCAGGGGCGGTGCTGTTTATTCACGACGCGTTGGCGGGACAGTGGGGGGTGCTGGGGTGGGCTGGGTGGAAGAGATGGAGATGCAAGAGGACACTATAGCACGCCTCGTACGCCATATGCTGCATCTCGAAACAAGGCCCCATTCCCCTCACTAACACCGTAAATAGGGGCTCTTTCATTCGGCCCTGAAATCCCAATGGCCTAGTTCCCGCCACAACACCTTCTGACGTAGTCTCGCTACGCGCTGGCGTTCACCTTCTCAACCAACATAACAAACCACCCGTCATCTCACTGGGATCGCGTCCAGGCGATGCAGGTTCTTCAGACTGCTGGCACCGTTGGGGAGCACCGAGAGGCTGTCGTATATAGTCGACGAAGAGGATACTGCTATGCGTCTTTGCCCGACTGGTCGTGGGGGACGCAGGCACGTTGGCCGCGATCGAGGGGGAATAAATGGACGACATGCTATGCAGGTTCACGAGGCACTCGGTTCATGAGTTGCTGTCGAGTCTGTGGATCCAGAGATGACACGAATTGACTAAAATACCTATACAAGTAAAGTAGCTGCTGCCATTCTCTTCGACCAGTCTTGTTACCTCAACAGCCTTAAGCTCCTTGTGCTGGCCCTGTTCTTTGAACTTTGGCATGTCGTCGCGAGTCTGCTGACAATGCCGTATGAGCGACACAACTCGATAAATGTATGATATGGCAAATCGAAATCAAAGTGTATCACGGAGTCTAGTCGATACTCGCCCTCAAGAGGCCCCGGGCCACTTGGTAGACGGAAGATGAACTCCTCAAATTATGAACTTGGTGGAGTTGCTTTTGAACCCTATTTCTATCTTTTGCTTGCTCTTTCCGGTCGAATGTCAGCGGCGCTATGATACAATAGCTCAAAGTCCCCAGTACACATCGATACCACCACCTCGGTGAAGCGGCTACAGACCAAAGTCGCATCATACAAAGCCGGTGTGGTTTCGAGCAGCTTGCACACAGCAATAAGAGCAGAGGAGATGGATGCGATAAATGCCTACATGATTACACCGTATGCTCTAAACAGACGTCCACCCAACTCCCCTATGGCTCGTTCAGCAGCCGCTGCCACCTTTCCTGGTTCTTCCACTCTTTCCGGGGACGGTTCGCTTCTCTTCTCTTATTCAAGTGGTACCTCTCCTTCTCCGTCGTAACCCCTACCCGTCTTCCCTCCCACGCCCTAATCTCCTCATCCGTTCGCCTGGCCTTCCCGCTTTCAACGGCCTCCCTCCTCTTGGCGACCTTGATCTGCTCCAACATCTCCTTGTAGTCTCTCCCCACCAGCCCCGGGTGCTCGCCTTGAACGAACCGGTCCCATTGCTCCGCGGTAGACCAAGCCACTCCTTCCGGAAGGTCGGCAGGTTGCTCGCGGAGAGACCAGACAAACTCAGGTTTGGCAGTGCCGCGTTGGGCTGTCGATGGGGAGGAAGTGTCTAATTCTGAGGGTTTGGGGTGCACAGGGTGCTTGTGGATGAGATTTTGTGATTGAAGGACAGGGAGGACACGGTTCTTCAAGTGACTATCCAACGAACTGGTCAGTCGGATGTTCAGGGGCTGCCAACGACACACATACCTTGTTGAGATGAATGGATGGCCTTCCGGGACGAGCTGCTTCTCCGGAACATGCTTCTTCTTCCCCTTGTGTTTCCTCTCGTTCACTGGCTCTGGGATACTTTCGAGCGCTTCCCTGGGAAGTTTGTCGGCATAGAGCGCAACGCCTTGTCTGACGATGTCTTTTGTGTGGAGACCGGAGGGAGAGGAGGAGAGGATCTGTCGTACGAGGTTGTATGCTTGGGGGAGGGGTGATTGGGTCATTTTGTATAGTGCTCTGCGTATTTCAGCCGACTTGAATGAATACATGGAAATCTCGCATCTCGCGCAAAGGCGGAGTTAGCCGGCGAGATGCGCGTGTGGCATTTTTCTTTCAGACTTGGTTGAATTGTTGCTCTGTATCCTCGACTGCCTCTCCACCACCACCATGCATCTCCTCGGCCACAACCTCCTAGACCACAAGCCCCTCAAGGTCAGTGTCTTGTCCCTAGCCTTCGAAACCATGCTCACACACCCCAGATCGCTCTCTTGACCTTCTACGGCATCTCCCACAAAGTCTCTGCCCGTCTCCTCCCCCGCCTCGGTATCCACTCCGAAGCCCTCGTCAACCAACTCACAGAACCCCAACTCACCTCCCTCTCTGCCTACCTCTCTTCCCCTTCCACCACCGCGCGCCCCTCGGACCAGAAACTCGAGCTCGCCCCTCCAGGAGGCTTGGCCCTCAAGCCGGTCGGACACCCGGGGATCTTTGGAGGGTTGGACAAGGGCAAGGGGAGACAGGAAGATCCGCTGGATGAGCTGAAGATTGAGACGGAGAAGAGAAGGGCGATGCAGGCGGATATTGCGCATTTGAGAATGGTCGGGACGTATCGTGGTCGACGGTGAGTCGCTTTTTGAGGTTTGGTGTGGCTATGCTGAAGTTCTGTAGACATGCTGCTGGATACCCCGTACATGGGCAAAGAACCCAGACCAACGCCAAGACGGCAAAGAAACACAACAGGGTGGAACGCCGAAACATGGGAACGTGAGTGGCTCGGGAGCTGACTATTTGGACCATACTGACGCGAGTGACAGCTTTGCTTTCGAGAAATTCACTCCCGAAGACCTTCCTACACCACCCACCATCCTCTCTTTACTAGGGCGCAGGCCATAGATAACGGACCATGCACCAGCCTCAATATAGCGCTCTTTCTGATGGCAGCAGTGAAAGACACTGTCGAACTCCTCGGCAGCCTGAGCTGCTCGCATGCTCTTGCCAGACTCAACATTCGGTCGAAAAATGGTTCAGAAGAGAAGCAGAACAATGAAATGTGTAGGATGCATTCACAGCAACGATAGAACGTCTTGCTACAGTTTTCCAAGGCTGATGGCGTAAGGCTTTGTGGTGTGTCGTGGCGGTCAGTTGCAGAGGTCGAGATGCTTCAGGACGTTCGGAAGCACGAGTGCGAATGCCGAGAAGAAGGGAGCATCTTGTTCTGACCGCATAGGCCGCAAATCATTCCCGTGACACGATTCATAAAAGATCTCGCTCATTTGCTCAACAACAAAGTCATCGTCGTCATTGCGGGATGTCCTGTTGCGCATCATCACCCCGTATATACCCATATATGTTCTGGGGAATCATTTGCAGTGGATATGCATATGCAGTGTGCGACTTGGACCAGTCATCAAGCGCGGACCTCAACCCTCTTTCTCTTCCCACGCCCATCTTCCAGCCTCTTCCTGACAGCCTCCTCATCCATCCCCTCCTCCTCATACATCCCGGCAACCCTCTCGCCTTCCCATCGGCCCTTCAAGAATTTGAGAGCAGCAATGTTGAAACCCATCGTATCACGCTGAGCAGAGAGTGCCTGCCGGAGATGTGTTCTCAGAGTGAGCAGGGGAGTTCGCATGATGCGGTTGGAGACGATTTGAGCAGAGTGAGTGCGGAGAAGGAAGAAGAGGATTCGGGAAACCAAGATCACTTCCTTGCCCTGTACGTAGGTTAGTTGACGAGCCAAAGACAACAAGACAACGTACCTGCATGGCCCATTCGTCCAGATAACCCATCAGACTGACCACCATCCTGAACGGCAGCACCAGCAAAGCGTCCTCCATGCTAGCCGCGGGAATCTTCTTCACAGTCTGGAGCACATACTGATCGGGTTCCAGATCACCCCTGGCAATGAGCTCGGCGTGTCGCGGAGGACGAGGTACTTCAGCACCAGCCTTCTCGCAATCCTCTTCCCATTGCTGGACTGCCAGTCGGTCCTCGTCGGCAACGGTGATGGCCTCCATAATCTTTTCACCAGCGATGAGAGTCTCGGCAGTTTGTTTTTGTACCGCCTCAACTTCGCCGCCTTCGCCCTCGCCATTTTGGCCTTCCGGGTCTCGGTTGAGAGAGTCGGCAAGGTTGGAGTCGTACATGTCTTCAATCTCCTTCTCACGCTCCTCATCGAGGAAAAGAGGCTCGTCGGTCTTCTCCCAGATACGGATTGATTTGTCGTGAGAACCAGTAACGACGAATTGACCATTGGAAGCAGTGGCCAGGGCCCAAACTTCTCCGTGATGACCAGAGAGTTTTTGGATGAGCTCAAACTGGTTCATGTAAGCGATAGTTTCTCAAAGTGGACTGAAAGCATACCTTGTCTCCGTCCCAGTACTTGATAATCCTATCCTTGCTGACCGTCCAGAAGTTGTGACTCCCCGCCTCTTTCTCAAACATGACACCCATGATCGCCTCATCGTGCGCAAAGATACTCTTGTGGCAATCACCAAAGTCCATACCCCAAATCTTGACATTCTTGTCGGCACTGCAAGTGACGATCAATTTGCTGTCGGTGGAAATGTCAAGACTGAGCACAGGAAGCTTATGGCCATATAAGGACAAGAAGAACTTGAGAGTGTCGGAGAAGAAAATCTTTACTGTCGAGTCGAGTAGGGAAACGGCGAGGAAACGGCCGTTGGGGGTATACTTGAGGGCAAGAATGTCATCAGTCATTTTGAGTGTTCGGACGTGGACAAGAGCAAGTTGCTTCGTCTTGTACACAGTCTCGACTCCCAGTCGACTGACGACCCTTTCACCTTCACCTTCTTCCCTCATCTCAAAGTCCCAGAACTTTACATCTTTGTCGGCACTTCCACTGACAAGACCTCGCCCATCTGGCCTCACACCGATACTCCATACAGGACCGTTGTGCGCCTTGTAGGTCTTTAACAGTGTCGACGCCCCAACATCGTATAGCATGAGCTCACCGCCCTTCGTACCAACGACGACGTGTCGGTCACCAGGAAGGAAAGTGGAGCAAAGAGCATACCCACATTCCATAGTCCTGATACAGGCAGTCGTTCTGGCATTCCAGATTTTGAGCGTGCCGGAGGAGGCGGAGGCAATAACACCGTCGTCGGATGATATGGACACTGTTCGGATGTCCTGCCTGTGGCCCGGCAGTTCGATGGAATGTGTTTTCGTGGGTTCGGGGGATGATCCATCCGCGAGTTTTGACTTGCCAGACGCGGATGGGGAGGGGATGTTGTACGACTCGATGGAGTTGTTTGAGAGAGCGAGTAGCAGCTGTACGTATATCAGCTTTGCCTTTCTGTGTCAGTCAAAGCACTTACAGAGACTCCGCCCTTGACGAATGTTGAGCTTTCCGACGCAAACGCAAAGCTCTTGACCTTGGCGTTGGCTCGCACAACACACCAGACAGCTACTCTTTCTTCCCACTTGACAGGTTCGTCATCCTCCTCTTCAACTTCATCCTCCTTCTCGTCCTTTCCCTTGGCCTTCTTCTTCTTCTCCCTATCACGCTTCTTTCTTCTGCTCCTCTTTGCGCTGATCTCTTCCTCCGTCCTCAACCTCATGATTACCACACCGCGATCGGTCGTTTGCAGGGCGAGTAGAGGAAGCGTAGGGTGCCATGAGATCTGGCTGATCGGGTGGGTGGAGGAAGATACTGGAAGACTGCAGAGTGAGACAAGGAGCGAAGGTAAGGATCCGTCCGCAAGGGGCTGGAGACCTGTTGCCAAAGCTGCCTTGGACAAGGAGTAGACTTTTGACTCGCCATCGGAGGTACCAGTTGTCACTGTCCACCGCCCCCCAACATGATCCTCCTCAACTCCATCACCGTTCTCCTCTTCAGCCTGCGCAATCACAGGGCTGTCGTCTTCCTCGCGCAGGGCAAGGGCAGTGACCTCTCCACGTCCGACAACGACGGTCTGCACGCAGTGTTGAGTGCTGAGATCCCACACCTTCATATATGTATCCTTGGAGGTACTAATGAGGAATCCAGCATGCGAACCCTTGGGGTGGGGGACGAACGCCAGACCGGTGATGGGAGCGCGGTGACCTTTTAGTCGAAAGAGTCCGACTTCGCCTACACGATCCCAAACAACGATCTCTCCTTCAGTACCACCAGAAGCCAGACGGGAAGCATCAGAGTCCCATGTCATAGAGGTGACGCTCTTCTTGTGACCATTGAATGTCACTGCCTCCTCCGCCTCCGCCTCTGGTGATTCAGAATCATAAGTCCAAAGTCGGATGGAACCATCTTGGTAGGAGACGGCGAATGTTTGGCTACCTTGGGAGGTAGAAGTGTAGGGAGTTGGGGCGGGTTTGATGTGGGTGACTTGAGAAGTCAGGCCGGGCGAGTGCCACATAGAGACGAGCTGGCCAAGCTTGACGTCCCAGACGAGCACGTCTTCCCAGCCGGGAACGAATGCGAGGCGGCCATTGTAGGTCGAGTTGGCGGTGGGGGAGGTCACAATACCAAACGCCTGTGTCGGCCCGTGGCGCATGTAAGACCTGACCATGGTGCTGTTTATTAGTGGGGGGTGATTGAACGTCTCTGCTTTTGACGGTTCAATTCGCGAACCTCCAAAATTCCGTCAAAATGTGTGATTACGTAATATGATTTGAACCTCCACCGAGATCGAAGACTGTTGGCTGATGCCATGTTGAAGAACCTCTAGAGCCCAACGACTACTTTGTTCTCCTTGAGATCACAGCCTAGCAAATCATAGAATCATAAACTAGGACAACAAATATGCATTATCGCTACCGATATATGCGCCATTCCAACCTTCGGATACTTTACAAGTTGATAACCCATCTATAGTAAGACTCTTGCGACCTTCTCAACCTCTTTCCCCATTTGACAACCAGAAACACAGATGCGTTGATCAAGGTGATGATTATCGATGAAGAGATGGCAAAATTCCGCAGACCCCACCCAAAGCACCACGGCGTGATGGCATAATTCTGCAACAAAGGGGGTCAGCCTATGATCATGAGGTCAACCATACCAAGACTCACAAAGCCAAAGGTGAAGCACATGGCCAGTATAATTATTGACAGCAGGTATGGGGCCGCATCCTGCGCACAGGCTTGCACCCCGTGCTCATCTCTAGGCCTGATGGGATGGAAACAATCAAAGGCGTATGCCACTGTCAAGATCGTGGCCAGTGGGCCAACCAGGTTAACAATGAAGCAGCCAAGGATGTAGACGATCCAGTGGGCACCATAATATGGGCCGAGGCCCATCATGAGGAGACCAATAGGCGTGAGGACTGTGGGAATGATGTAGAGCTTGAGTTTATGCTCTGCTTCTGCGATGCCGCTGTTACTGCGCGCTTGGCGTAGAACAAACTTGTCGGCCAACAAACCGCCAAAAACGGCCCTGTAAGATATCTGTCAGGAACCACCCCCGATGCTTGAAAGACCTGCAGTACTCACCCAGGGATAGCAGATATCAGGGGGGACAGGAAGCTGAGACCGACTTGACTGGTTGAGAAGTTGTAGGGATCGTCCGCAAGGATACCAGAGGAGATAGCTGCGATCACTGTGGGCCCTAGTCAGTCACCACACTCATAACACCAACTCATCACTCACGATTGAAACAAATCTGATAAGTCGCATACATCAATCCACTCCACCAGATCAGGGGGAGTCTCATGAGCAAGAAGGGTTGGGCCAAGCCCCTCAGAAGGATCCCCGGAGCGTGTCTGTGAGGCTTGACAAACTTCCAGAACTTGGGTCCTGGCCATGTAGAAGGCTCAATATGCGTCGCCGTTGTCAGGGTCGGGTCCACTTGGAACGTGGTCGATGTTGAGATACCCTTCTTGTCGGTCTCTTCTGTCACCTCGGCACTTTTTACAGTTGCCTCTTTTGACGTGTACGTGCCCGACAGACGGTCCGAGGAGGCGCCGGGTTCGATGCCGTCACTTGTTGCTGCAGATGACTCGACGTGGATGTGGGTTGAGTGGTCGCGTTGGAAGGATGTCTCTTCGAGTAACAAGAAGAGCAGCAAACCGACAATGACCATCAGTCCTGTAGAAAGCCACTAGATTGAGTCAGTCCCCAGCCAGGATGATTGCTATACTACAAACTCACAATGATCGCTTTCCATCCAATGCCTTCATAGATGTATCCCGAGAACAACGGCCCCAGACTCACTCCCATGAAGAGCAGGCAAAGGTAGATTCCAAGTGGGAACGATCGCTCATGGAGGAAAAAGACATCCGCGATCGACACCTCTATCAGAGTAAAAGATGGTGAGATGAAGAAGCCCAGCAATAGGCGACTTGCGATCCACTGCCCGTTGCCCTTGGCGAAGGCGGTCCAAATGTTGACCGCAGCTGCGCCAAACGCAGAAATGAGATAGACCGGCTTCTTTCCGAAGGCCAAGGAGCAGGGCTGGGAGATGAGGGTCGAGATGCCGATGAAGAGATACAAGTATCCGGTGCCTTCGTTTAGTTGGTCCAAAGAAAGGCCGGTCGAAGCAGAGAGGGGATCGAAAACAGAGTATAAATCTGATGATAAGATTGTTGCGGAGACGGTATATCTGGTGAGTACGTCAGCAGTGCATCTCAAACATCTTTTGGGACGATACTCACATGCACACACAGGTGAGCATCAGATACTTTCGGCCTCTTGACCAATTCAGGGGGTCGTTGGGATCCCTGCTTGGAGCAGGGACGAGTTTGATACCTTCAGCGCCCACGACTTCTTCCCCTGCCGGCCCCTCGTACATCCTGACGGTACCTGGAACATCCAGATAGTCTTCGCTCATCTTTGGTGATTATGGGGTGGTGTCTTGATGGTAGATTGGAGAGATCGCTGGGAAGGGCGGACATAGCTATCGGACCCCGGCATCTATATATGAGACTTTTGACGGATAAGCAGCCTTGCCGCCGCCCACCAGTGAACATCTATGTCATGTGATTTCCCATGTTATCCGAGCTCGATTGTAGATAAGCTCAACGTATATGCAGAGTTATTACAGTGATAGGACCGCGCTTCCAGCGTTTACGCGACACGCTACTAAACGCCGGATGGACCGGGGATTTTTGCGTTTGATATTTGAAACATATTCTTACTAGTGCAGTGTCTCATTGATCTGTCCAAGTGTCAAGTGTCAGAGTATACCCAAAGCCGACAGTCTCTCGACGTACGATATTCCTCTTTGGGGCGGATATAATGATCTTCAACTTTCTACCATTGTTCAACAGCTCAAACGCGGCTACACACACCCCCCCGCTTTCGATATATCATTCATGACCCGTATAATAGATTTTCAATTTCACTACTCCTTGTAGGCAACATCTTTCCTGTCCTTATCCTTGTCCACCTCGCGGGGTTGGCATTTCCACACCTTTGTATACTCGTCTGTGAATCGTGAGAAAGTTTACGGATACAGAGCCTTGAGGACAAACATCTCACAGGGGAACCATTGCTTTCTCGTCTCCGCTCTCCAAACCCTCCTCTTCATCTGTCCCCCCCCCCCTGCTCTTCTCTAGCTACATCGCCGCCCCCCCTGCCCTAACCTTCTCCAGCTCATCCAGGGTGGGGTCATCGCAAGCTCTAAATCTTCTTTGGTGGTTTCGTAGAGTACTTTACAATAAGGGCGAAGAGATTTGCTCGCCGTTTCACAGTCAAGTGCCGTAGGAAACTCGAGAATCGTCCATGAATGGTTTCGCTGTGAATCGGTCAGCTAGCGTCTTAAAGGCGCCTCCGGTCTTACTGGCGGATGTCGGTTGGGAAAGATGGCGTGGATGCCAAGAAACTTGGAGGAGACCTTTACAGTCAGGTGGGTGGCCTCGGCATTCCGCTCAGTGACGCGTACGAGGTCCGCATTGAACTGACTATGATTTCAGTGGAAATTCCGGGAATATAGTGTGATCTGTATTCACCAGTGACGTGTTGTGGCTGGTGACCTTGATGGCCCCACAATACTTTTCTGAAGGGTCAACATCCAATTGCATCTTGCAGTACTTGGCACTGATGAGAGGTCAAAAGACATGACTCGTATGTTTTCGGTGAGCTTACGACCGATTCCATTTGCCTCTACCTGCCTTATCGTACTGTGTCTTCATGTAGACCAAAACACTCGAAAGGTGATCTAAGCCTGGTTAGTCTATGTTTATAGAGAATGAGTGCAACGTACACTCGCGTTCAACAAAGATAGCCCCGAACTCCTTGATCTGGAGATCCAAAAGATCGTCCACGGTGGTGAAGCAGAGGGCGAGGCTCTGGACTTGTTCCATAAAGTCGATAGCTTCTTCTTCCTTGTGGAACTCTGTGTAGATACTCTCGTACGGAGACTGCTACCATCACGGTCAGTCATGACATGGAGGCTCTAAAGTACGCACGCCATCATTGTCCTCCCCAGTCGGGCAGATCAAGAACACGCGTGCTCCGGCACGCAACACTTGGAGCTGGGTGGACATCATCGACATGTCTCCTCGTCCGTTTTTTTTGAAGGTGAACTTTGCCCAATGTCAATCGCAAGCTAGTCGTGGTAGGATCGGATGACATACAATAGACTTCTTCTGCACAAATATTTTGATCTTCATGGCAGCACGTTGTGGTTAGTGTTCGACAACGATGTGGCAGTCGTTGATGCTGGTAGAAGTGAGCAATGGTATATAATGTTGCTCGCAGTATCCTCACCTGTAGAGGGTGGATCCTACGGCACTAGCGGTAGAAAAGCCACGACCGGGGGAAAAGCATCTGACTCTTTCCAGCTTGTCTGCACGGAATCAGTCAAGATCACACCATTACCAGAGGTTTCCTCACACTCTGAATACATGAGGCCCGCATGTGTATACATATTGCCTTGGGATCGTGTCGTCGCGTTCATCTGGTTGGAGTTGGTCATAAGGGGATGCAGTTTGAGTGCAATACACGGTGATAATGAGAGAGTCGCGAGGCGATCAATTTGTCGTTTGTTCGTTTTGGTCGTGTCTTGTACCTCTTGTCGGTCGTCCGGTACGTATCTCTGCTGCTTGCGATGAACGAGGTCATTGCTCGGGCTGCTCTCACCGTCCGCGGGCGTTGGTAGTGTCATCTCGAGTTCAGATGCTAGCACGTTCCTCAAATCTCTATCCTCCTCATTTTGTGTAGCTCGAGAGGTCATGCCTCACCCCCTGACTTGAAAGATAAAGTGTGTCGATGCTGCTTCACTAGCATCCAGCCCCCATTTGACCCGCGATTATGTCACTCAAAACGACAATGACAGAAAGGACCTCACAGACCGAACTCCAGTAACACAATTGCGAAGGCTCACTTGAGACTCTGGCAGCTTGGACTCTGGCAGCTACTCCAGGCGAACGATGTGGCTGGAAAAAGCAAAATGAGAGCCGATGAGACGTGAAGGAGGAATTTGATGTCTGTCCGCTGTTTCCCAGTGTCATGCAGGGGGATTGCTGCGCAGACTGCGCCGTTTATCATTGCTGAGAATATGGCGATGAATGCATACGGATGGCAAAGCAAAAATGTCCAACATAGGAACCCAACTTTGCGCCAAAAAGGGTCGAGTGTGACGCTGTCAAGCTGCTCTCAAGGCTACTGAGTGGCGAGTGAAGGTGATGGGGAAGGGGCAATCAGTCCACATGAAATCTGTGTCCGACCTGGTACCTAGGACTCGACTTGCCCTTCGCTCAACAAGCGACGCGTGATGTTGAAGAATACACGCGACGCGACGCGCTATTCTCTGGTCGTAGCAAGCAAGTGTAGGCTATCTTCTACGCTCTTGTATACATGGCCACTACAGACATAGAGCCATGCGGCGGCTTCCACTGGGCGCCTGAAGGGAGTATGGCAGCATGCACCGGAGATGCCCGCTTGCTAAAAATGTCTGAGGAGGTCCGAGCGGGGGCTAGTCACGCCTCCTTTGGCTTCCCATATCACCAGGAGAGTGTGTATATATATAGCGCCTGGTGACAATATGGGCATTACAGGCGGGAGTCGACCCGAATGGGATAGCGCGTGCAAAACGCCGTTTTCTACTCATCACCCTCGTTTCACCCTAGAAAGATGATATGCGCCCCGAAGATCCAAGGTGGTAAACAGCTGGGTGGATGAAAGGTGTTCGAGAGTTCCACTGATGAGGGGAAGCGGTCTGCTGCGGGTAGTGTTGCGGGGAAAGGAGATCCAGTCAGTAAAGGACGGAGGTCCGGTCTGGGAAAGGAGGTCCGGTCTGCAAATTGTCACCAATGAAGACCCCCTTCACCATCCACCTTTGGCTTAAAAGCTTGACCGTAGGTATACCATCCACGACACGCTCAAACCATCACTTCCAAGTCCTCACTCACTTCCATAATGTCGACCTCCCTGCCACTGCCCCGGATCTGGGATCATATGCCCAACCCTTTCAACTCGCCACCCTCCTCGCCTTTATCCGATCCAGAAGACGACGACCAGGACAGTATCTCCAAGATGAAACTCCTCGACCTGAATGACAGGTCGATGCACCACCCATTCGAGGGCAATATCATGGCTGCAACAAGGGGAAACGGCCTGTCCGAGGAGGAGGAAGCTTTTTTCGCCAGCAGGATGGCAAGCGAGACGGCGAGGAGCGATGACGGGCCAATGGGCCTCTTGGATTGGCTCGATATTGAGGCGGGGGCGAAAGCAGAGGATGAGGTTGTCACGGGGGGGTGGGGCGTTAAGGAGATCTTGGGCGATGCCGAGACCGATGCGGCCAACCGGTGAGTGTTGTGTCAAAAACGTCACCATATACTGATTTTGTCCCTCCTATCTAGTATTCAGGCTCGGGAGTTTCTTAAGGAAACAGCATCGAATTTCTTTGTGCAGCTGCCCTATCATTTGAGGTTGCGCCACACCAAGGATTTCGACCAGACAATGGCTGTACCCCCACCCCACCAAGTGCCCATCGTGCCAGCCCAGAACGTCCGGCTGCCACTCATTGACTCTTCATCTGGGTAATTGGTCTGCCATCTCGCGACAAACACTGCTGACTATGATTAGCTTTTCCGTCGACCTCATCTTCAGATGGGACCATGGTCTTCCCCCAAGTCAGCAGATTCTGCCCGAGGACATTTGTGAGCAATATCGCCATTGTTCTTGTTCGCACATTGATGTTCATAGGCCGCGCTCTGCGCGTCATGAAAGACCTCTACCAGATGATCACTCAAGGACACTACCAGTCCATGAGGTACGTGACCGTTTGTGCAGACCAACGTCGTATTGACAGCTGAGATAGGTCCATTTGGTATACCTCCCGGAGGCTCTTTGGCACCAAGGAAGCGACATACAAAGTGATTCACCATGCCCAGGGCTATATGATGTACATGCTAATAGGCGGTAGCTGATCGAAAGTGTTATCGCCACGTCGGGTCTCCGCCGAAGGGACTTTTTCACTGTGAGTTTTGTGCGCATGTCAAGAGGCGCTCACCAAAAACATGTAGGGGTCCGAGTCCAAAGGCTCAATCGTCTCTTCGGCTGACCTGTCGTTTGTGACCAGGCGAGGGGAGCGCCTCCGTGTGTCCACGTTCCAGGTAATGCAGCATTGGGACGACATCTGGAACAACTAACGTTCCATAGAAAACGTCAATCCTGGAGGCTGAGAACATCGCCTCCATCCAGGGTGGGGAGAAGAGGCCGCAATGGATCTTGTTGGCGGAGAGCAGAGTGAGTTGTGGAATATGTGCATGGCTATGATCTGATTTGGGTGGGTCAGGCATTGTTGGATACTCTCATCAGGAATGGTCTGTTCGAGAGAGAGGGGTTGGGGTATGGCATAGTGTTGACGGTACGCATTATTACGACGATACATTGTTAGGCTGAAGCATAATACCACGTCTGCAGGGGAGTGGTCGACTGGATGGTGCAGCCAAGAGGATGTTGAGGATTTTGTCAGACTTTTTCAACATGTGAGTTGTCACCACCACGACGGGATGACGGTCTTGATACCATTGCAGCGAGAAGGTGTGCGCCTTGGGAGACGCCGATGTTGGTGGGGTCGAGATCATCAACACCGTCGCTTTCGGGTCTATGACCGGGATGTACTCCCCCGAGCAGAGAGGGCTGGCGATGGCAGACAAGCTGGTGTGGATTGGGCTCCGACCTTCCCACTGGGGACGGTAAGCAAGATGTGACTTTGGGCTCTCGTACTGAACCAGTATTCACAGGTTCAATTTCAAAGGTTCAAGCTGGCAGGCCCTCACTCCGAAGGACAAGACCAAGGCAGGCTTTCAATCCCTTGCTGCTACTTCATAATACTGATATTTATTGCAGATCAACAAAATGCTCAAAGATGAGAAGGTCCCTCTTGATTGGAAGTAAGTAAAGCGGCTTTGTTATTTGGAAACGAATCAGAACCTACAAAACAGAACCTGACATAGCACAGGGATGAGCTCCAATTGATGCTGGTACGCAACCGCAAGTTGCAAATAGAAGCCATCATCTCTGCCACTGTGACGAGTGAGGATGGGCTGGAGGAGGATGTTGGCATTGATGGGTTGATAGAGTATGTTGCGGGGGAAATAGAGCAAAAGGGCAAGAAAGTGTTATAGTATATGAAGGAAAGTCATACAAGTATCAGACCCGCTTCGAAAACTTGCTATGAACGAGGCCAGCTGCAAGGTAAGGTAAGATACATGAGCATCGGCTATGTATACAACTAGATCGCTTTGACTTTTACTTGACACATGTCTATACCAACACAACGGCCTACTGCGTCCCTCCTCCTTTCATAGCATCCATCATATACGCCATTAACGCCGAATGGACTGCATCCAGATTTTCCCCAGCACCAGTGGGCGGACCAGGAGGGGCAGATGGGGGAGGAACACTCGGATACTGACTGGAACTGCGCCCGCCATTTGGCGCCATACTACCTTGAGGTATCTCCCTCTGCATAGGATCCCACTGAGGCCGGGTAGCAAGATGCTGCTGGGGATATGATAGAGACGCTTCAGGGCTGAACCGGCTGGTCTGGGATACCGGCGAGGGACCCGTCACAAACTGATCGGTTGGACTAACTGCAGCAGGATACTGCAGAGAAGACGGGTAGAGGTTGAAGTCATAGTCGTGGGTGTACCGCGGCTGAGATTGCAGTGGCTCATCATTGACAGAGAGCTGGTTCCAGTAATACTGCGGCAGCTGAAATAGGTTGGCCGGAGAGACGTCGGTGGTGCCGTTTCGCGGAGGTCTGAATGCGAATTGGGGGGAAGTGATAGTGCTAGAAGTGGCACTAGCGGCATTATCGCTACCGGACAGATGCCGGTGGACGCGCTGGATACCTTCACCGACGACGACAGCGGATGAAGCGTCGCTCGGCCTCTTTTCCCTTTCTCTCGTACTTGCTGGGAGCACTTCAGGTTCGGACAGCTGCATGCCTCCCATGATCACTAGCAATATTGTTAGTCTCCCTTCTGACTCGGATATAAATCGCTTACAGCCCTCAAAGAAGACACGGTGGGAAGAAGCAGCGGGCCAAGATGATGAAAACTCTTTGAGCCAGATACAACATTGTGAAAAGTTGATCTTAGCTCTGTGCGCTCGTGCCGGGTCCGTAGACACAGAGTCGTAGGCTATGCGGTACAATCAGCCACAGCGCTTTGGAACGAGAGGTAGACGTACCTTCAAACAACGTCGTAAGACTGAGCAGATGGATGAGATCCGAGCTGACGTGCTGCAGGACCCGATTCGTGTCGAGAAGATGGATCAGATCCACCACTGCTTGCGCAGCGTTTGAACAGATGGCATAGTAATCTTTGGACCGTTCGGTCTCTCCCGCAACGGGGGACGACGCTGGACGACGTCGAAGGAAGCGAGAGAACAAGAGAATACGAGCAGTGTGATACCACTATACCACGTCAGCCAGTCCCTAGTAAAGAATAGAATGACTCACAGTGATCCCGACCACATGGTGAGGCATGGGAGATATAGGGCTATTCGTATCAACGTCAAGGTGAGGAGGCAGCGCAGCCTTCCACAACTCGAGTTGCCTGGCAATCATATCCCTCTGCTCATCAGGGTCCCTTTTTTCCCGACTCTGCTGTGCGAACTGCCGATCCCAAGCGTTAGACGCCGCGTTGATACAAGGCCCGTCAAGTTGCAGCTCCATGATCTCTTCCACAATCATCGCCAAGCGGCAGGTCCATACAAAGCAGCTCATGACGTATCCTCTGCGGGGAGTGACATGGCGGACAGAGACGGGCACGAGGGCAGAAGACATGGGTGCGGGAGGCCATGTTTCGAGCTCGTCGGTCTCGCCGATACCGGGGAATGGGACAGAGCTGCGTCTATAAGGCAGGACGTATGGGCGACCAGTCTCTTCGGCGACGACCTTGTCGAGGACGTAGCAATTCCAGTATACCCGGGATCGGGTGTCGTTTTCGTACTAGACCAGTCAGCCACGCGATACATTCAAATACAGATCACTCACATCTGGAGTGTTTTGGAGGGACGACCCTTGGTCGAGATGCAATCCCATTGTGGTTGCCATGACAGAAGCCCTGTTGGCGTACAATGCAGCACTCTGCTTGTCTCCACATCCAGTCTGCCGCAAACTCATCAAGATGAAGCTCTGAATGATGTCGACTTTGATCTCGTTTCTTCGTTGCAGTAGAGCATGCTCGGCCATGTGGAACAGTGAGGTGGCATGGAAGCCTTCGACGGCACATTCGGGAGCGACGCAGATAGCTACGGCGAGCATCGATAAGAGCAGATGGGCTGAAATGTTGTGCGGGCTAAATACCGGCTTGCATACCAAGGGCCAAACATTCTGGATAAAGTCAGCCTTCTACACTCTCGGGGGATAAGTCGCCACTCACATGCACATGGGTAAAGTATACCGCCAAGAGCTGGTCTACCATATGCGTGGGTATGCCAAAGAATGGCTCATTTGGCCGCAGTGGCGGGCGGTGGGCCGAGCCAGACGTCGAGGGGGGCGGCGACTGGGTCCGGCTACTACTCAGTGTCGATCTTTCTTGGTGCCCCAGGTTCGCCGGACCGGGCCGTCCGGTTGCAAGAGGGTATTGCGGCCGCAGTGGGCGCTGTTGCTGCTGCTCGGCGCCGGCACTGCTGCTGTCTACACCATGCTTGAATCCTCTCGCAGGTCCTCTATAAATCAGTGTGAGCAGGAGGCGACGCGAGATGGGCTTATCTGACCTTTTCCGTACGGGCAACGTATATGTACATGGCTGACGTTCTTCGCGGCATGCTTTGCATGAGGGGGTGCCGTCACTGTTCTCCCTGAGCTCTTCGCACTTGGACCGGCGGCTGCGCTACAAGGTTAAGACATCTCGAGATGATTCTGCCAGAACTACTGACGTTTTGCAGGCCTGGGCAGGGTGAGCGGGAGCATCTGGGGCGGGGGTGACTCACATCGCAGGCTCTGGAGGATCTCTTGCGGGAGACGGGAGGGTCCTGGGGCTGCTGCATGGGGCGGAGGGAGACGGGGAGAGGGCGACCGTTCAGCGTCCAGGCAGTTGTTATCTCCCGCCTCGCCTCATGTCCGTTCCTGCCGGGACCAAATCCGTTTAAGCGCCACAAGCGCCAAACCATCTAGTACGCTGCTCTATTACGTCAAATATATATAGCCGCTCTTTCTTCTCCTGTTTGCCATGATCCCTCTCAGACCCACTATCGCAAGGAGTCTTGTACCACGCTTCAGATTCTCACACACCATGCCCACCTACGCCACAGTCAACGTCCCCTCTCTCGGCGAGATCAAGGTTCCCGTCGGACTGCACATGTAAGCTGCAGCTTTTGATTCTTTTGCACGTGCTTATCAATCCCAGTAACGGCGAATGGGTCGAGTCTGTCAAGAAGGAGACCTTTGCCACGGTTAACCCCGCGACTGGCCAGAAACTCTTGGACTTTCAGCATGCCCAGGGCGAAGACATTGATATCGCCGTAAAGGCAGCTAGGAAGGCTTTCAAGACCACCTGGGGTACCACCCTTCCCGCTGCTGAGCGCGGTGCCTGTAAGAAATGCTATTCATCATATCTTGTCCTATACTGATGTATCATAGTGCTCAACAAACTTGCTGATCTTGTCGAGAGAGACGCCGACAAGCTTGCCGCTTTGGAGAGGTGAGATGACTCGTAGTCTTCATGACGATGGCTGACGACATCCAGTCTCAACTCTGGAAAAGGTGTACGAATCGCTCGGTGAGTTTCCACCTTTGCCACACCGATTGTGCTGACCCCAAACTCAGAGAGGCCGACATTGCCGACTCTATCGCTTGCATCCGCTACTTTGCCGGTCTTGCAGACAAGATCCACGGTCAGTCCATCGACACTTTCGGTGGCGAAAAGTTTGCATACACCCTGCATCAACCTATCGGTGTCTGCGGTCAGATCATTCCCTGGAACTATCCGCAAGCAATCTTCGTGATATGACTGGTCAACGCTGACGCTCGAAACAGCACCATGATGTGGGCTTGGAAAGTCGCCCCCGCGCTCGCCGCGGGCTGCACCGTCGTCATGAAACCTTCCGAGCTCACCCCCCTCACCGCCCTCGTGCTCGCCGACCTCATCAAAGAAGCCGGTATCCCCGCCGGTGTCGTCAACACAGTCCCCGGCTTGGGTGCCACTGCCGGCGATGCCATCTCGCGTCACATGGGTATTGACAAGGTCGCCTTCACAGGGTCGGTCGTCACTGGCAGGCGTATCTCCATTGCTGCTGCAGAGTCCAACTTGAAGAAGGTCACGTTGGAATTGGGCGGCAAGTCACCAGTGTTGGTGTTTGATTCGGCGGACATTGAGGAGGCGGCGGATTGGGTTGCTATGGGGATCTGGTTCAACTCTGGACAGGACTGCTGCGCTGGTAGTCGTGTAAGTCATACATTTGTAAGAGTGATGGGGTGCTTACTCGGAATAGCTCTATGTCCAGGAGGGCATTTACGACAAGTTCCTTGCGGCTTTGAAGAAGCGAGCCGAGAGTGCCGCAATCGGCCAGCCGCATGATGAAAAGACCTCCTTCGGTCCCCTTGTGAGTTCAACACCTCGATCTTGAAGTGGACTGACAGTATCAAAGATCTCGGAAGGTCAGCGAGACAAGGTTCTGGGCTACATCGAGTCTGGCAAGAAGGAAGGTGCCGAGGTCCTCACTGGCGGTAAGAAATGGCCTCAGTCCAACGGCGGGTTCTGGATCGAGCCCACCATTCTTTCCAACACGAACCGAAACATGAAGGTCGTCAAAGAAGAGGTGCGTCCCTTCCGTCTTCAATCTCTCCCATCACTGACAATCTACAGATCTTTGGTCCCGTCATCGTCGCCTCCCCATTCAAGACCGAAGAAGAAGTCCTCGAAGTCGCCAACGACACCGAATACGGCCTCGCTTCTGCCGTCTTCACCAACGACGGCCGACAGGCTACCCGTGTCAGCTCTGCACTTGAGGCAGGTACAGTCTGGGTGAACCAGTATGGTTTGCTCCATACTGGTGTGCCGTTTGGTGGATTCAAGACCTCCGGTATCGGGAGGGAATTGGGTACTTATGGGTTGGAGGCTTATACGCAAGTCAAGGCTGTGCACAACAATTTGTCGCAGACTATGTGAGCTTCTCTCAGGGATCGTTGGAGGGTGTACTGACCGATATGTAGGCCTTGGCCCCTGTAAGATATGGGCAGGGGAGTAGTGGACAGAACAGGAACAAGTCAGAAGTCAGAAGTCATGGTCAGAAGTCACAGTCATGGATATGTATTGCATTCCCGATAGTTGTACATCGCCTGGAATGATTTGCGAGGAGGAGACGTAAACATGGCTTGCGGGCCCAACACTTTCATGACGTAAACTCATTCAATCGCCCATACCAATCGCAGCGAGTTGTATTACTTTCCACCCCAGCTTTTTGGTTAAACTTGCCAAGATGGTATCGGCTTTTATGTCGGTAGGAAACAATGACCACATGCCTCGATAATATGGGTCGGGATAGGCGAAGACTCGATAGTTGACTGACGAATGGTCGTTGGTTGTGCCCCTCGTCCCATCTTGTTGCCATATCAATCTAGAGAGGCGAGATTTGCGATGCAGATTGCGGCTGTCTCGCCAGATTGACGAGACGGGAAATGGCACCTGTCAAGCTGTTGGCTGAGCGAATCAAGCGCATGCTCTCCCCACTGATACTGAAACTTAATAACGCTCCCATTTGGAGATCAGATCGTGGATGGCCGGGCTGATAAGAATTCTGGCTGATCTCTGGGTGAACCCATCGCCCATCTCGCCTGTATCTATCTACGTACGAAGAGATATATAATCAGACATGGACGGAAATGCCTCTCTCTTCCCCCATCACCCCCAGAATGCCCGCCCAGTCTCTCTACGCACACCCCCTTGACCCCCTCTCCGCCCAGGAGATTCTCGACGCCGTCTCGGCAGTCCGATCCTTCATCCAGAAGGGCGCCTACAAGAACAAGAAACCCATCGAGAAGCCCATCTTCAACAGCGTCAACCTCCGTGAGCCTAGCAAGTATGCCGTCCTCAAGAGGGAAGGTATTCTCGCCAAGGAAGACCTCGCGAATGTCCGCGGGGAGAAGGACGACGTCAAGAGGCAGGCCGACGTCAGCCCTATCTCTTATCTCGTATTGTCGCCAGTGCTGATTCTATGCTCAATAGATCCATATCATCTGTCCCATCACTTCTCAGAGTTTCGAAGCAATTGTTGACCTGCCCTCCAATGTCACAGACATTCCCGGTCCAGAGGTCGCGGTCGTGACACACTGGGTGGCCCTTGAAGAGCTTATCCAGCCTTCTTTGCACACAGAGGTGAGTGAAATTTTGACTTCACAATCCACACAGCGACTGACTCTTATCTCAGGAGCTTCTTTGGGCTGAAAACCTTTGCCGAACCAACCCTGAAGTCAAGGTGGCTTGCGACGCCGTGGGCATCGATCAGAAGAACATCTTTGTAGATGGTGAGTTTCTGCGAGCGAGACGGAAGATCTTTGACTGACTCGATCGTTCAGGTTGGTGTGTCGGAGTCGATGAGCGTTTCCCTGGACGGAGGTTGCAGCAATGCTTTATCTTTATCCGAAACAGGCCCGGAGACAACCTCTACGCTCACCCTTGTGAATTCGTTCCCGTCATCGGTACAGTCTCTTCCTCTTTTTTGGTTCCTCAAGCTGATACTTGTAAGACTCCCACACTGGCGAGCTTCTCACCATTGACTATCCTCCCACCAACGTTGCCCCTGGCGCTGAACACCCTCCATCGTCCGCGGAGGCATACTCCCAGACCAAGGTCCGAGACAGGTTCGCACCCCCCACCGCTCCCCACAACTATCTCCCCGAGCAGATCGCCCAGGACGACCCCTCATTCAAAGTGCGAGACACTCTGAAACCCCTGCATGTAATCCAGCCCGAAGGTGTCAGTTACAAGCTTGAGGGTAGGACTCTGAAGTGGCAGAACTGGAGCGTGCATGTCGGTTTCAACTACCGGTGAGTCCGTCCAATTCTAGCTGGGGTACAATACTGAAAATCCCAATCAGTGAGGGTCTTGTCCTCTCCAATATCACTTACGACGATGGCGCCAAGGGCACCCGACCGCTTTTCTATCGTATGTCTGTCGCTGAGATGGTCGTTCCCTACGCCAAAACCGTTTTCCCTCATCACCGAAAGATGGCTTTCGACATTGGAGAATACGTGAGTGGTGTAATTTGAAGTGACAAAAGCACGCACTGACTCTGGATAGGGTATTGGTGCTCTGGCCAACTCTCTCGCCCTGGGCTGTGACTGCTTGGGCAGCATCACTTACCTCGATGCCGACTTTGTGACCCGAGCTGGTGGTATCGAGACCATCAAGAGCGCTATCTGTATTCAGTACGTTATCTGTCTACAGCAGAACCTCGTACTAAAAAGCCTGTAGCGAAGAGGATGCTGGTATCCTTCACAAGCACACCGACTTCCGTGACCTGCGCGCCCACGTCGCTCGTAACCGAAAGCTTGTCATCTCTTCCATCTGCACTGTCGCCAACTACGAGGTGAGCCTTTTGATCTTATCTATTTGGCTTTTCTGACTCAGACTCAGTACGGGTTCTATTTCAACTTTGGTCTTGATGGATCGGTCGAGCTGGAAGTCAAGGCCACCGGTATCGTCAATGCCTACACTCTCGCCGCTGGCGAGCCCAAAGACTTTGAGCACGAGTGTGAAGTCGCCCCTCGTATCTCGGCTCAGAACCACCAACATGTAAGCGGTTTCTCTCATCCTTTCCTTACCGAATCTCACTGACCCAAATACAGCTGTTCTCTTTCCGATTAGATCCCATGATCGACGGTATTCAGAACCGCGTCGTCCAAACCGACATCGTCTCTGACGAAGGACCACTCGGCAGCGACTCCAACTTTTACGGCAACGGCTTCAAAGTTCAAAAGACTCCCTACACTAGGAGTACCAAGGCTGTGGCAGACTATGATGCGTACAAGAATAGGACGTGGATGATTGAGAACCCCAACAAGCAGCACTACAGCTCCGGGAGTAACGTCGGTTACAAGCTTGGTAAGAAGCTGCCCCTTGTCTTCAGGGCACAGCTGATGGGCGATACAGTCTGCAAAGATATGCCTCCTCTGCTTTCCAAGCCCGGCTCTCTCGTCTACAACCGAGCACCATTCGCCCGCCACAATGCAAGTCTACATCCCTCCATTGTGTGAAGCAGTTACTAACACCTTTGACAGATGTTTGTGACCCCCTTCAACCGGGATGAGATCTTCCCTTCCGAGATCCACATCAATCAGAACCCCGGTGGTGAAGAGTTTGGTATCACCAAATGGGTTGCCAGGGATGACAATATTGAGAATGAGGATATCGTCTTGTGGCCTTGTAAGTTCTTGCCTGAGAATCTCGGCTTTACGTGCTAATCACTTTATGTCAGGCTTTGGTGTCACACATATTACAAGGCCTGAAGATTGGCCGATCATGCCTGTCGAGATCCTGAGAGTACACCTCAAGCCTTCCGGCTTCTTTGACGTGAGTCTCTCTCCTGCTCCGTCTTTCAGTCAACTAATGATCGCTGCAGAGGAACCCTGGTCTCGACGTCCCGCCGTCAGCGGACAAAAATTCGCGTAATGCCGATGAGGCGCTCGCCAACGGCGTCAACGGCGTGCATATCGACAAGGAAAAGGTCATCGAGCCCAACAATGGGACTTGTGAGTCCACTTCCCGTTACTGTAAATGTAGCTCGCAGCTGACGATGATATCTAGGCTGCAGCAAGTAAGAGACCATGAGTTGATACAAGCGAGAAAAGTGAAATGATGTTCAATGATGTTATGGTTCTGATGTGTTTCGTGTATAGCCCGGTATCTCTGAAAGATCGCATGTATTACTATGATGCTTTTAGACGTACGTCCCACTGGGTTCCAGGAAGCAGGATCAGATTGGCGTTCTTGAAAAGAGGCTCCAGTTTTGTGACCGAGCCCAAAAGTACATGCTTAAGAAATGAATGCTGTTCGTCTCTACAATCTAATGCCCTAGCTCCTTCAGAGCCTGGCCTTCAGATCCGCAGGCGTAACCAAATCCTTCTCCTCGATGGGCTTCCTCATGCCCGCCCTCACATCAGCACCCGTTCCACTGACTTCGGTCGCCTCCTTGCTGACATCACCCTTCTCCTCCTTGGGCTCCACCATCTCCTTGGGAGGGTAGAACGACCACCTCGTACGCCACTCGGATGAGTCATCGTGCTCGATGATCTTGAGCACTTCACGACCGAGGTTGGGGGCAAACTTGAAAGCGTGGCCAGAGTCACCAGAGATGACAAAGAGGTTGGAAAAGTCGGGGTGGTAGTCGATGAGCCAGTCACCGGTGACAGAGTCACAGTACCTAGAGTTGGGTAAGCATACGGCATATCTCTCAAAGAGTATCCCATACTCACCAGCAAAGTCGGGTCATGGCGTAGTCCTTCTTCATCAATTCCGGGTAAACCTCAGAGAGACCGCTTCTGAGCTGATCCATCATCACCTTCGGGATCGCACCGCTCTCGGCGCCGGGCGTGAGCTTTGTCCTAGGGACAGAGACGCCGCCGACTTCTTGGACGGGGTTGATGTAGCCGGCAGAGTGGATGGCCATCTTCATAAGACCATCGGGGTTGGGGGGGAAGCAGTACCATCCGTCGTCCAAGTTGAAGACCTGCAAGATGATGAGTTGGGCTCGCTCGGCTAGGAAGCTACTTACGACAGGAGTCTTAGAGTACTGCTTGGCCTCCGCGGGGGTAAGCTGGAAGATGGCGACACTCTGGCTGATTTGACGTTAGTCATAAAACACGCACAAGGATACCGACTCACCCAGTGGCTTGGATATCAGGAAGCTTGCCCTTGACGCCAGGAAGAGCAAAGAGCTTGGGCGTCCAGGCGCCAGCAGCGGTCTACGCAACGTCAGAAATGCCCCACATTACTTCGGCAAGACTACTTACTACAGTCAGATCCGCCAAGACCTTCTCCCCACTCTTCAGCTCAACACCCTTGACCTCCTTGCCCTCAGTGACCAATCCAACGACGTCGGCATTGGCTCTGACGACACCACCAAGCTTCTGCACTCGCTTCAAACCGACCTCCACAGCCCTACTGGCTTCCGCCCAACCACCGATGGGGTTGTAGTAACCCTGCCTGTTTCCAAAGTCGCCGGTAGGGATACAGTTGTCCTTGTCGACGGCAGTCTTGATGGACGCCTGGTCCTTGACAAGCTGGACATCGACGCCAAAGTCGTGAGAGTTCTTGTAGGCGGCGTCGACAAACTGCATGCCTTCTTTCTCCTCGGGACGGGAGAGGGCAACCAGACCAGCTCTGTGTAGACGGTCAGTAAAAGCCTCGTTGCACGACGGGGTACCTTTGGACCACTTACTCGTGGTAGCAGCCCTCCCACTCGGGCTTTCGCCAAAAGTCGATAGCGTCAAGAGCGAATTTGGCGTAAGCGCGGTCTTCATAGTCGGAAGCTCGAATGATCTGTAAGCAAGTCAGATCCAGTTCAACAACCGGGCTCATGCAATCACCTTGTTGATGTCTGAGCACGACTCGTCAGCTGGGCACTCGTGTCCTCTGTGAGCGGATTTACTCACCAGCACTAGCAGCATCGGGAGCAGGCGTGACGGCGTTCTTCTCGAGAATTGTGACCGAGTACTTGCCAGACTCGAGCATCCATAAGGCAGTGGACATGCCGGCGATACCTATAAGCCACCGTTCATCAGCCCTGCCGAGCTTGCGAGTTTTTATCTCGGAGACTTACCTGAGCCGACAATGACAACGCTGGTCTTTGAGGAGGACATGGTGAACAATGGGGGATGGGTGGTGGAGAGATGGAAGAGATATGATGGAAATACTCGTTGTTGAATGCATAAGACCCCTGAGCCGACTTTTCATCCGTCCCCGAAATATCAGCCAGTCAGTCGGCAAATTACAGTTGTTCGAATCAGAAACATACGCGCCAGGCACTTCGGCAATTCCAGAGCAGCGCTCATACATACAGCGCGCATCGTCTCTGGCTGACGTGATGCGACACTCGGGGAGACTGCAGCGCGAGGTATCAAGGTGTGTATACACAAGGCACCCAATTCGGTGCCCAGATATCCATCCAGTCCTCATCGTCAACAGAAAAACTGTGGTACCTTTCAACCATATGTCGTTGGCGATCTCTTCGGATGAACTTGTTGATGCGTACATATGCTATGGATGCTATAATCAAGATGCCGACTTCTGCCTCATCTTCGCGATTGCCTGCCTCCTCGCTCGCCTGGCCCTCAAAGCCTGGATCCCAGTTCCCTTGCCGTTTCCAACAACGACCCTCCTTAGCCCCTCCCTCGCAGCCCCGACGCCGGCACCCTCTTCGACCCCCGCCATCCCGGTCCAAGCCGAGGATAGCCTCTTCCTCGTCTTTTCTCTCAAACCCGCCCATGTGTGCTTCAACTTTCCCTCTTGCGTCTTTCTTTCCTTGAGCAAGTCTTGTGCCAGAGCCACCACCTCCTCCGCTTCCTTTTTCGCATCCTCAGAGATGTCTGGCTTGGCAAGCTGCTTGAGGGCGTGCTGCCTTGAGCCGCGTATGATCTTTGCTCCCGCTCGGCCTAAACTCATCTCGCTGGTTTCTATGACCTTCAAAGCACCTCGCAAGTCCCCATTGGCTCGTAGAGTCTGGGCGATGACAATCGTTGCCTTCTCATCTAGCGTGGCATCAAGGTTTTTGAGGTCGACATAGCAAAGGTTGGCAGCCTCCTTGTACCACCCGCAATTGACATACGCCTGCACCATCGCAGTGACCACCGGAAGATCCAACCCCTGATTGGGGTCTGTCTCTCCCAACTGCTTGATGTGCTCGTACGACCTCCTCGCCAGCATGGGCTTGCGCTTCTTGCCATACCCAGCGAGGAGCACCGCATGCATACCCCGGGTAGTTGGGATCTTCATCTGCTGAGAAAGAAGCATCACATCTTGCGCTTCGAGCATGTGGCCGATCTCGGCGTAGCCTTGCATGAGAGCCTGAATGTGTCGAGCATCGGGGACAAAACCCCTTGCCAAAAGCGAATTCCACACTATCCTGGCAGACGGTACGCCGGATATTGTCGAATTTGACATGGCGTCGAAACGGAGACGGCTAGAGATGGTGCGCGCGGTGGACTGGGCACCAGCAGATTCGAGGGCAGTGATGGTCGATGCAAGAGGCTCATAAAGGTCGGGAGAGAGTTCGAGACCCGCAGTGGGGTGGAAGGTGTCTCCGGAATGGGAGCGAAGAATGGAGGGGTAGGCGATGGGACGATTACTGTGGCGGCCCATGGATGCTACAGCATCTGCTAGGAGAGAGTCCAGCAGAGCTGGATTGGGAGCGAGATCGGGACTGACGTCCATGATGCTCGAGACTAACTCTGCGAGATCGTATGGCCTGTGCACAAGGCTCGCGCGCGCATAGTCGACAATGATTTTGAGAGAGGTGCTGTCGGGTTTGATACGGTAAAGGTGAAAGAAGGACATGGCAGTCTCAATACCAGACAGTCCATGAAGGCCAGCCATGGCACCAAGGTAAAAGTTGAGACTCTGAAGGCCAGGTCTTACCCCTGCCGGCAACTTCCACTCGTTGGCAAGTGCCGACTCGGGAGCATTGGGAAGCCCAGACTGGAGGACGGCCGAGGCATCATCAGCTTTTTCGCCCTTGATCAAGATCCTCAGCAGGTCTTTGATGATTTCGTCTGTGATTGTCCGGGGCGTTTGTGCAAAATCCTCCCAGAACCACCTCACGCGGTCCAAATCCTCGTTCTCCACAGCGACGGAGAAAAGCATCGTTTTGGTATGCTCCGATCCCTCAATTCCCTCTCCTTCACCACCTCCCCACCTCCTCAGATCCAGCTTCCGCAACAGAGTCTCGGCGGCTTCGATTTCCCCGACATTGAGCCTCAATCGAGCGAGCGCATGTATGAGGGCGCCTTGAAGAGGCAATTGAAGCTTTTCAATGTCACTCAGGACCTTCTTTTCCAAATTCTCTTCCAGTCCCAGAACTCTGTAGCCCTTCAAGAGCGCAAGTTGTTGCGTCGCAATGTCCCGCGACTCGCCTGAATTCGCATCTGCAGCAATGGCCCTCGCAGTTGGCAGATCTCCCATCTCCATATATGCCTGGATCAGATGATTGACCGCGGCCACCGTAGGCTCAAGCGAGAGGACATCGTGCAGCTCAAAGATTGTCGGGACTTTGGAGCTTTGGCGTATACCGAGGTGGGCCTGCATGTACACCTCCACCAGCCTTCCGGTATAGTACCGATGCGGGAATGTTTCGGGGGAGAAGAGCTCGACGATAGGCTTCCAGTCACGAGTGCGAGCGAGGTCCATGGCGATATCTTTGAAGGGGACGATACTGGGGGAGCATTCCGTGGCCAGCTGTTCGCGCAGACGCTCTTGAAATATGGACTTTGCGACGGCAGGACACCGAAGGCGGTAGCAAAGGTTGATCAATTGTCGAAGACACTTTCCGCGCAGATATCGACCCATCATTGGGTCCGACGTCGAGCCCGGAGACGGAAGCGAATATATTATGGCTCGAAGCACCCGGAGAGCTTTAGCACTATCCTCGGTTTTGACCCGATACAGCACAGCCGGGGTGGAGGCTGCCACTTCAGTGGATCGCGCCAGTAACTGGCGGACATCGTTATGCGTCAAGGCGATAACGTCGTTGTGGGACAGTTTGGGTAGCGTCAGGAGGGCGAGGATGGGGTGTGTAGGAGTGAGACCTCTGAACGTTTCAAGAAGTGGTAGGGGCGAAGGGGGGAGTGCCGAGACATCATGCAGGTTCAACCAAGAGTCTAACCACTCTGAGGGAACGTTCGGTGTCTCAGAGGTCATTGTTGGAAGGTGTGCGTAAGGGTTGTATTCGTCCCCAGCTGCTAATCCTACTTAAACGGTAAGCTCGACTCCAGATATTTCTCCCTTGAGGCATACCTCCGGACCTGCTTCGTTCGTTCTCTTTGACTTGAATGTAGCTATCCCTCTTGGAATCTACAGCAGATGGCTGAGATTGTTCCTCCACTGCAGCCACAGCATGACTGTGAACTCGACGAGCGCGGAGAAGCGCTTGTCTTGACGACTCTGCAGGGAGCGCCTGAGACCACAGCTGAACCGCCGCAGATGCGTGTTTGGTGTATGCTTTGCGAGCGGTGGGGAGCATCGGGACGGATTTGACTAAATACTTTGACATGTCAGTGCGACCAATGAGAGGAGGGGTAAAGACGGAGACTGACTTCGATCTCGACTTCCACTCGAGCGATCTTCCGCAGAGAAAAAGGGGAAGGGCGTTATCAAATGTATAGAGCGCTATGCTCGAGTATGGGTCCGTTGCGAGGCAGTTTGTGGGATTATCCAGGTGATTTTGATTTTTGGACGCGAAAAAGTATGCGGACGAGGTGCGAGATTTCACGACAAGGTTCTTGCGGAGGGTGTAAATAAGTAGCGGCCATCGCCGCTACATATCTCTCCGGCGAGCCGAACTCGTCATCCACGCAGTGGTCATGGAGCGTTTCTTCTTGAATTCCGGTTCACTACAAATCAACATTGCCCAAGATGTCCAACGCCTCCCAAATATCCTCAGAGAATGAGGGTGTCCCCTTCAGTATCCTCGACACCGACCTTTACAAGGTCCGTCACCTGTATCTGCCGTTATCTATCTGCTGACAAGAGCCCCTCGACGTAGCTTACCATGCAGAATGCCGTCCTCCACCACTTTCATGATGCAGTTGTGACCATCAAATTCACCAACCGGAGTCCGCAAATGCTGTTTACCAGGCAGAGTTTCCAGTGGGCGCAAGAGCGGGTGAACCGTGAGTCTGGTATCGACTACACATTCCGCTATCGCTGATCGAAGCCTCCCAGACTTGACCGACTTGCGGCTGACAGAGAAAGAGAGGGCATACCTCTCCAAATCATGTCCATACTTTTCCTCGTCTTACCTCGACTACCTGCAGGGCGTGCGACTTGACCCTATCAATCAGGTCAAGCTCTCGTTCATGCCGAAGAGCACCAATGCGGAGGGTGAGGAAATGGGCGAGATAGGGTGTGAGATCGAGGGTCCCTGGAGGGATACCATTCTGTATGAGGTCCCTATAATGGCTATCTGTACGGCATATCGCTTTGGAAATGGGTCGTCGCTGATGATAAGTGATAGTGAGCGAGAGTTACTTCAAGTTTGTTGACACTGATTGGAGTTACGATGGTCAACTGGGTATGTCCTTTGTTTATCGTCGAAAGTATCATCTGAATTTGTCTTTGTAGAATCAGCCAAATCAAAGGCGCTCCAACTCTTGAACCCTCCTGCGCCGACGACGCCTCTCGTATTTTCCGAATTCGGCACCCGTAGGAGACGGAGCTTCCAGGCCCAGGATATTGTCATCAAGGGCCTTCTTTCCGGGTTCGAAGAGTACAAATCCCAAGGTGGGAAGGGTGGTGCTGTCAGTGGAACCAGTAACGTCAGTCCATCGTGTGTCTCCGAGGCCCACCGCTGATTCCTTCTCAGGTCTACTTGGCTTTGAAGTATGGTATACAGCCAGTGGGAACCATTGCGCATGAGTGGGTCATGGCCGTCGCTGCCGTCCACGGCTACAAGGGTGCCAATGGTCGAGCAATGGACATGTGGGAAGAAGGTACGTTCATCGTCACAACCAGGTACAAGCTAAAGCTATACTAGTGTATCCTCCCAACACGCCCCTGGCGGCTCCTCTTACAATGCTCACCGACACCTTTACCGCATCCATCTTTTTCGACGAGTTCGTTTCTTCTCCCGAACGTGCTCTTCGTTGGGCCGTCCTGCGCCAAGATTCGGGCGACGCATTCGAGTTCTTGCGGGGCGCCAAAAAGGCTTGGAGAACGGTGGAAGATGAGGCTGGCGTGAAGAGGGAGAAGGGGCCGGATGGGCTGGAGGTGGTGGGAAAGGGGAAGCGGGTCATCTTTAGTGATGGACTGGATGTCGAGAAGGCTGTCAAGCTGCAGCAAGGGTGTGATGAGATTGGCATTGCTGGTACGTAGCCTCCGGTGACCTGGTGATCCCTGCTGATAGACGTGAAGCTTCCTTCGGTATCGGCACGTTCCTCACCAACGACTTTCACAGGATCTCGGACCCAAGCCAGAAATCAAAAGCGCTCAATATCGTTATCAAGCTCAACAAGATCAATGGCAAGGGTTGCGTCAAGCTTTCGGATGACAAAGGGAAGGTACGCCAGATGTTCTTGTCCAGCGTGGTGATACGCGCTGATTACATCCAGCACACTGGAGACATTAACGACGTTCGCAGAGCTCAGGAAGAGTTGGGTCTCGCGTGAAGTTGATTGCCAGGTGACGAGAGCCCATAGAATATATCGTCTAGAGGCATCCTAGAACGGCGGTATCATGCACGCAGGTCGATGCCCTTTGCCCGAGCTTAGTCTCAGCTCCTTTTGTCACAATCGGCTAGTGGTACGTTTCGATGGATGTGTGAGGACCAAGGATGCGAGCCTTCCATTGCGAAAGCCCAAGCTTTGCGTCAACCTTTATCTCCCTTGCACGGTAGGCTGAAAGGATCCTTTCTGCAAGTAGGATATAGTGTCTCCCTCGTCGTCTATAAAAGGGCAGCATCCATCACCAAACTTACTCCACACACTTACGACTGACTGGTTCAGACAAAAATTACCTACTCTTCATAATGATCACTTACGCCCCCAAGACTTTCTCCCTCAAACGTCTCACTGGTCTCTGTCGACAGAAGTGAGCTCCCCTCTTCCATCATTAGAGCCAGTTATGCTGACACGGTGCATTATCGCTCATCCTTATCTAGTCTTGTCAGCAACGGCTTATCTACCACTGTCCCTTCTCGAGCGGTTGCCCCAATGGCTCGTAATCTTGCCGATGATATGGATAAATCGGGCAGGACTGTGATAACGATCAACACCCGACCGCAGTGGACTGAAGCGAGAATTCGGAATAAGATTGAGAGGGCGAGGATGGCTGAGCTGAGGAGGCACGGGCTGGCTTAGCCAAGTCTGCGATACTGTGATTTCTCTGTAACTCTTTCATATGATGCACTCGTAGTGTACTCTATCATCTACCGTTGTTGCTCGGCCGAGGATAAGGCAAATCGAGTTATCATCTTCTTGCAACGGTGATGTGACTGTACAAATGTAGCCTTTACCGTATTCTTCATCTTCCAACTTTCGTATCTGTAGCATTCAATATCGCTGTACTACGCTTTTTGCTAATCACAGTTGTTCCAAGCGACAAAGATAAGTCAAAAAAAGCTCGGTCTCTTCGTTGGACGCCGGGCTACAAAGCGATTTATTCCAAATACTCAGTGTTCGCCAAAGAGTCTCACTTCACTCTCACTTGTATCACCGGAATCTAACCCTGGCCCTTGGAAGTCTTTCTCCGTTAGGCGAGCGTGGTTCATTAACAATAGAGACCATCGATAGTGCCTTCGTCTTTGATTTTTTTGCTATCATGTACAGCCATCTGGGAAGCCCACGCATCTCCTGTTCGGAGATAGGAGCGATGGATATGGGCATCAACGTGTTTTGATGCATGGCTGATCGTGAAAGGGAAGGAATGAGTGAGAAAGTTGAATGAGATTACATAGTAGTACGTAGATCGGCCCGGCCGGTCGCTTACTGAGACATTTTGATAGCCGGCGGGATATCGAGCGGGTTGCTGTATGCACTGTCCTGTGTCCACAAGAGGTGCGCTATGGAGGTCGACAAAGGGTTGGTATACGACTAAGTTCGAGTGAAGGACAGTGCATGGGGTGACTGAGATGGCGATGCATCAGACGCGGTCTCGTGGCGTCGCTTATCAGTCGCGTGCAGGCTCAGCTGATAAGAGATGGTGTAGCCAATCACCGTGTGCTGCATGCGAGCCGATGCGGAGTGAGCCAAATATACTCTCCGGATCAGCCAGAAGCCATCAGAGATCTCTCACTTGATCGGCTTATCCAGGTGACGTACGCAAGATAAGCTCACGTGAAGTCCAGCCCATCTACACCCCTACTTATTATACAGCATCTCGGAAAATGCACTCTTTTCCATCTACATTCCTCAAATTACTTTCTGACTCTTACCTATCGGACAACCACCATGGGCTCAAGCGAGAAGTCTGCCAGCGCCAAGCCGCCATCCATCCAGCCCGTCAAAGTCGAAAGCGGAATGGACAGCGGCCGCGATGGCGCAGCTGCCAAGCTGGAAGAGATGGGGTACAAGCAGGAGCTGCAACGTAACCTCGGAATGGTTTCCATCTTGGGTCTCAGTTTTGCGATCATGGCCGTGCCGTTCGGTACATCGACTACACTCGCGGTTGCCTTGACGAATGGCGGGCCTGCTACTATACTATGGGGCGTGAGTACAATGTAGCCCATAGATAGAGAGTGTCAGCTAAAGTTCCCAGTGGGTCTTTGTATCATTGATCTCGTTGTGTATGGCAGGAAGTCTTGCAGAGATGTGAGTGCATTGAGCTTTGCATGATAGATGCTGACAGTATTCCAGCTGTTCCGTGTATCCCACATCAGGCGGTGTATATTGTGAGCAACATTTCTGCCACGAACCCGGACATTGGCTGACATTTCCTAGACTGGGCCGCGATGCTATCAAAACCTAAATACAGTGCTTTCTCCAGTTATCTTACCGGTTGGTTGGGCACTGTCGGAAATTGGACGTGAGTATAGGAAATCACGAAATGCAACGACCAAGGCTGACGTAGTAGTGTCACCGCCTCCATCACCTTTGGCGGCTCCCAACTGATATTGGCTGCTGCTACCCTGTATCACGAAGATTATGCGCCTACCGCATGGCAGACATGTGTGGTGTACTGGGGTGCTCTCCTCTTCTCCCTGTTGATCAACATCTTCTTCTACAAGTGAGCTTGGTTCCCACGAGGAGGAACGTCACTGACAGTCGGTCAGGCACCTCGATAAATTGAACACTGTTTGTTTGTGGTGGACAGGAGCTTCAGTCATCATGTGAGTCAAATCGCGAAGCTCGATGTCAACCTCGCTGACCTGACTCACAGTGTATGTATACTACCACATTCTCAGTCATATTTTTAACAGTCGCAGATCATTGTCACTCTCCTCGCTATGGCCGACACCCGCCACTCTGGCAAGTACGCCTTTACCGAATACGACCCCTCACCCTCTGGCTGGCCCGCGGGATGGTCATGGTTCGTCGGGCTTCTTCAGTGCGCCTATACCTTGACGGGGTACGGCATGGTTGCTTCTCTTTGCGAGGAAGTGGTCGAGCCTGGACGTGAGGTGCCCAAGGCCATGGTCTTGTCCGTCGCTGCCGCCGCTGTCACTGGGCTTGTCTACCTTGTGAGTATATCTTCTGTCTCGGCCGATCAAAGCTGATAGCATGTAGCTTCCCATCAACTTTGTCCTTCCCGCCATCGAGCCCCTGCTCAACGTCGCTAGCGGTCAGCCCATGCCTTTGCTGTATAAAGAAGTCACTGGCAGCGCCGGTGCCGCCCTCGGTCTTCTCTTCCTCAGTATGTCCTCTTACTCTCTTTCCATGAGCTAGTCTGACAACACTTAGTTCTCGGTATCTGGGTTTTCGCCGCCATCGGATCCCTCACTGCTGCTTCCCGATGCACATGGGCCTTCTCCCGAGACGGCGGTATTCCCGCCAGCGGCTGGTGGAAAAAGGTCAACGAGCGATTTGGTCTCCCGATCAACTCTTTGATCCTTTCCACCGTCGTCTGTGCCCTTTTGGGGTTGATCTACCTCGGAAGTAGCGCCGCTTTCAATGCGTTTACTGGTGTGGCCACTATCTGTTTGGGATTGTCTTATGCCTTCCCTGTGCTTTGCTCGCTCTTGAGGGGAAGAAAGGCGGTGCGAAACGCCCCCTTTTCTCTTGGAAAGTTTGGCTTTGCCATCGTGAGTCCTATCCGGCTTGCATTGTCAGCTGTCTAACGATATCTAGAACATCATCACTGTCGTGTGGATCGCCTTCTCCATCATTCTCTTCTGCATGCGTGAGTACACGGCATCATCTTTAGGACGTTTCTGACGTTTCTGTAGCCACCGCTATCCCCGTCACACCGACATCAATGAACTATGCGAGTGTAGTGTTCGTCGGCTTTGCGGCTATCGCTGGTTTGTGGTACGCCATCAACGCCCGGAAACATTACCGCGGTCCCACCCTGTCGACTGTTCAACATAACGGCGAGACCGAGATTGTCGAAGAGTATTAGATTCCATTTCTTGGAAGAGTGTACAAGCGTTCAGACAAGTCTGTCTGGAGTAACATCTAAATAAAGCAGGATATCTACGAGTAGAGCTGGGTATCAGGGCGATCTTGTTCTTGGGTAGTTGTCAGATTATTGTCTTTCTTGTCGTTTTTATCAGAGTCGTGTATCTAAAGTAGACCGGATTATGCGCCGCGTGTATCTGTCTTGGGATTATGTAGCTTTTTATCGGTCGCGGATGCATCAAGATGCCTTGAGTCAGGGTCTATAGAGATACTCGTACTGTGTCTCACGTTCGATCATTCAGCGTGAGCGAAACGTAAGCAGAAGTCGCGTGACTTTAACTGGGGAGCGCGAATGCAATTTTGACTAATATTTGTTGACGCGCCTGAGTTCAGGTGCCAATATGGACGAGACGCGCCGAACATGACGTTGGGCCGTGTCCTGTATGCATAGACACACATGGATATGGGGAGGGGGTATGCAGCTACCATAGGCAGTGTGCGTGGACACCGTGCATGCGTGGCCGGTGTTGACGGTTGATAGACCTATGCACGATGGGCGGGGTTTGCCGCAAAAGCAATAGTCGGAGCCCTGATGAACCTTCTGCGCCCTCAATTTCTTGACCAGTTCGTCTCTCCAGCATATACGTACCATCAGCCATCGTGCCCACCGTGTTCCCTGCCCTCCCCCCATCCCCCTCGACATGTCGAGGCCGCCGGTACCCAACCGCATCCATCAACTCCCAGGTCAGTCCCCACCCACATCTGCACGCGACAGCCCAGCTGACAGGACTACCAGTGCGCGTCTCCTACTACATACCCTATTCCGACCAGTCCTATTCAGTCATTTTCCCCACGCTCCTCAACGTCTATATCCACCCCAGTGCGAACGATGCGGGCGACGAGGTATGGGGGTCTACATATCTCAAAATGGTTGTGAAGGGCGTCTTGGGTGCCAGGTAAGGCCAATGATGTTGACGCGCCCCGTATGCCGTACACGCTAATACTTTATGTCTCAGTCCCGAGCTACATCCAGACTACCCATCCGCATCCGACCTCTCACTCTATGTGCTTGACCCCCGCGAGACCTTTTTCCGACATACGCGTGGTCAAGGGAGCACCGACCGCTCGAGTAATAGCGAAGTGTGGACCGGCAAAGGCCTCGTGTCATGGGCGCTTGCGGAGGCTGGGATCGGAAAGAACTTGATCGTGGGGCGACTGCAAGAGGATGTGGCGTTTGCGAATATTGGCAAAGTGTCGCACCTGTCGGCGCTCGAGCAGCTCATGGAGGCGGACCGGGCTGGTTCGGAGGGACAGGCAGGGTGGGGGATTGACATTTCGATGGGTCTCAACCTAGGATCGGGCGGGCCGCCTGCTGCCTTTCGGCGATCCCAGTCCAGCTCGAGGTTGGTACAGAGGTCATCGAGCGTCGCGGCGGAGGAATACCAAACGCAACGGTCGCGCCCGAACGTTTCGCGACACCTGTATGACCAAGCAGGCTCTTCGTCCGGTCTCAAGCCCGAGGCAATGTCGCGTGCGGGCTCGAGTACTTCAAGAACGGGCCACGTTTCGCGGCAGCTCTTCAGCTCTGAGCCTGCATCTCTGCCCAGGAATGCCCCGATATGTACCCCTGACCTGGGTGTCAGCAGCCCCGCGCTGACACCATGTCCCCATCCGGTATCCAACAAGCTCGTAAGAGAGCCCTCACAACGCCCGACCCCTCTTATCACCCGCCCCGGCGCCATGGTTCCCAGGTCTGTACCTCCCAAGAAACGCGCGCCTCCGCGAAAACCACCAGCGCCATCATC